CTGACAAAAGAGAGCCTCACACACCTTATGCCTGTTCTTCGACAAAGTACCGTGAGTATCCACATTCTGCATGCACGATGTTGCTACAATTAAAATTCGTTTTTCGTCAAGAACTTCGCAAACCTCAACATCTCCCAGAATAAAATAGGCGACGCCGGTGTACAACATCTAGCTACCGCCCTTACAGATAACAAAGTACGTGTTCTCCGTTTCTTCGTTCTCGATAACATGTTGATTTCGAGTTCTAGAACATCACGGAACTCAATCTTGGTGATTGTAAACTGACCAATGAAGGTATCAAGCACCTTATTCCTATTCTTCGAAATAGTATCGTGAGTATCTGCAATCTACCTGTAGGATGTTGTCACAATTAACCCATCTCTTTCCTGCAGAATTTAACCAAGCTGACAGTTGCCCTGAATAAAATAGGCGACCTCGGTGTACAACATCTAGCTACCGCCCTTACAGATAACAAAGTTGGTGCTTTGAGTTTCTTCCTTCTCGATAACATGTTGATTTCGGGTTATAGAGCATCAGGGAACTCGATTTTGAGGATTGCAATCTGACTAATGAAGGTATCAAGTACCTTATTCCTCTTCTCCGAAATAGTATCGTGAGTATCTGCATTCTACCTGTAGGATGTTGTTACAATTAACCTATCTCTTTCCTGCAGAATTTAACCAAGCTGAACATCGACGTCAATAAAATAGGAGACACTGGCGTACAACATCTGGCTACGGCGCTTGTAGATAACAAAGTACAGGCTGTCACTTCCTTCGCTCTCGATCACATGTTCATTTCGTTTTGTAGAACATCACGGAACTCTATCTTGGTGATTGTAACCTGACCAACGAAGGTATCAAGCACCTTATTCCTCTTCTTCGAAATAGTATCGTGAGTATCTGCATTCTGGCTGTAGGATGTTGTTACAATTAACCTTTCTCTTTCCTGCAGAATTTAACCAAGCTGACAGTTGCCCTGAATAAAATAGGCGACCTCGGTGTACAACATCTAGCTACCGCCCTTGCAGATAACAAAGTACGTGTTCTCAGTTTCTTCGTTCTCGATAACATGTTGATTCCGTGTTCTAGAACATCACGGAACTCTACGTTTGGGATTGCAATCTGACCAATGAAGGTATCAAGCACCTTATTCCTCTTCTTCGAAATAGTAACGTGAGTATCTGCATTCTAGCTGTAGGATGTTCCCACAATTAACCTTTCTCTTTCCTGCAGAATTTAACCAAGCTAGCAGTTGCCCTGAATAAAATAGGCGACCTCGGTGTACAACATCTAGCTACCGCCCTTGCTGATAACAAAGTACGTCTTCTCAGTTTCTTCGGTCTGGATAATATGTTGATTTTGTGTTCTAGAACATCACGGAACTCTATCTTGGTGATTGTAACCTGACCAACGAAGGTATCAAGCACCTTATTCCTCTTCTTCGAAATAGTATCGTGAGTATCTGCATTCTGGCTCTAGGATGTTGTTACAATTAACCTTTCTCTTTGCTGCAGAATTTAACCAAGCTGAACATCGACGTCAATAAAATAGGAGACACTGGCTTGCAAAATCTGGCTACGGCGCTTGCAGATAACAAAGTACAGGCTCTCACTTCCTTCGCTCTCGATCACATGTTCATTTCGTCTTCTAGAACATCACGGAACTTTATCTTCGTGATTGTAATCTGACCAATGAAGGTATCAAGCACCTTATTCCTCTTCTTCGCAATAGTATCGTGAGTATCCACATTTCATATCCAGGATGTTCCTACAACTAACATATGTTTTCCGTGCAGAACTTAACCATCCTCAACATCTCGCAGAATAAAATCCGCGACACTGGTATACAACATCTGGCTACCGCGCTTGCCGATAACAACGTGGGTGCTCTGAGTTTCCTCCTTCTCGATAACATGTTGATTTCGTGTTATAGAGCATCAAGGAACTCTATTTTGAGGATTGTAATCTGACCGATGAAGGTATCAAGTACCTTATTCCTCTTCTTCGAGATAGTATCGTGAGTATCCGCATTCTACCTGTAGGATGTTGTTACAATTAACCTATCTCTTTCCTGCAGAATTTAACCAAGCTGCACATCGACATCAATAAAATAGGAGACACTGGCGTGCAAAATCTGGCTACGGCGCTTGCAGATAACAAAGTACAGGCTCTCACTTCCTTCGCCCTCGATCACATGTTCATTTCGTCTTCTAGAACATCACGGAACTTTATTTTCGTGATTGTAATCTGACCAATGAAGGTATCAAGCACCTTATTCCTCTTCTTCGAAATAGTATCGTGAGTATCTGCATTCTAGCTGTAGGATGTTGTTACAATTAACCTATCTCTTTCCTGCAGAATTTAACCAAGCTGACAGTTGCCCTGAATAAAATAGGCGACCTCGGTGTACAACATCTAGCTACCGCCCTTGCAGATAACAAAGTACGTGTTCTCAGTTTCTTCGTTCTCGATAACATGTTGATTCCGTGTTCTAGAACATCACGGAACTCTACGTTTGGGATTGCAATCTGACCAATGAAGGTATCAAGCACCTTATTCCTCTTCGTCGCAATAGTATCGTGAGTATCCACATTTCATATCCAGGATGTTGCTACAACTAACATATGTTTTCCGTGCAGAACTTAACCATCCTCGACATCTCGCAGAATAAAATCCGCGACACTGGTATACAACATCTGGCTACCGCGCTTGCCGATAACAACGTGGGTGCTCTGAGTTTCTTCCTTCTCGATAACATGTTGATTTCGCGTTATAGAACATCACTGAACTCTATCTTGGTGATTGTAACCTGACCAACGAAGGTATCAAGCACCTTATTCCTCCTCTTCGAAATAGTATCGTGAGTACCTGCATTCTGGCTGGAGGATGTTGTTACAATTAACCTATCTCTTTCCTGCAGAATTTAACCAAGCTGGAAGTCGCCCGGAATAAAATAGGCGACCTCGGTCTACAACATCTAACTAGCGCCCTTGCTGATAACAAAGTACGTGTTCTCAGTTTCTTCGGTCTCGATAACATGTTGATTTCGTGTTCTAGAACATCACGGAACTCTATCTTGGTGATTCCAACCTGACCAACGAAGGTATCAAGCACCTTATTCCTCTTCTTCGAAACAGTATCGTGAGTATCTGCGTTATAGCTGCAGGATGTTGTTGCAATTAACCTATCTCTTTCCTGCAGAATTTAACCAAGCTGAACATCGACGTCAATAAAATAGGAAACACTGGCGTACAAAATCTGGCTACGGCGCTTGCAGACAACAAAGTACAGGCTCTCACTTCCTTCGCTCGCGATCACATGTTCATTTCGTTTTCCAGAACATCACGGAACTCTATGTGGCTGATTGTAACCTGACGTATGAAGGCATCACTCACCTTGTTCCTATCCTTCGTAATAGTGCCGTGAGTATCAACTTTTTAGAGGCAGATGGTTCTTACAAATAATATCTCTTTCTCCCGAAGAACTTAACTATCCTCAACATCTCGCGGAATAAAATCGGCGACCTCGGTGTACAACATCTAGCTACCGCTCTTGCAGATAACAAAGTACGTGCACACCGTTTTTGTACCTCACGGTAAGATGAGTTGTTGTTGTGTTAGATCCTCATGGAACTCGGTCTGTCGCAATGTGCACTGAGTGATGAAAGTGTGAGTTGTCTGGTTACACTATTACGAAATAAAGCGGTAAGCACGGATTTTCGAGTCGAGGAAGGTNGGACAGCGAACTCTATTTAAGAGTCTATTGTTTTTTTTCTAATTACCAGAAATTATGATCATCTATCATACATAAGTCTCAGTAGTCTAATGAGATGGCACACGACTGAAGATCATGCAAACTGGGTTCGATTCCGGGCTGAGGCAGGGTGGATGTCCTGAATTATTTGTTTTGTTGTTGTCATCACTATTAATTTATGATTAACATTAATACAATCAGTATTACGCCGCAATTTCAATTCGTCATCCTCACTACGTTGATTTTTGATTCGATACCATCAGTGCAAAAGAAAAAATTGCTTGAGAGTAATATAACAGTAGTTTCTTTATATTTGCTCAGCAATGCAATAGCATCTGAATAGCAAAAAGTACGAAAAAAAGATGCGCCCTTGCACCTTATTTTATCTTTCACAAGATAAATCTAATGTTGAATATTGAAACAAAAAAAAACGGACTTCATCTTATTGGTCCAGGCAAAAATAATGTAACGCAGAAACATCATTTTTCATTGTTATCTAATGAAAACATTAATGTCTTTGCCGCAAAGCACAACTTTGGGCTTTGAGGGAATGATTGTGAGTGTGGATGAAGAGAAGATCTCCACAGATACCATCACTCATCCTCACACTCACATAACCGCACCCAATCCCACACGCTTATATATACATCTATCAGAAGATTTAACGTGTCGAAGGCATCTGCAAATGAAATTCGAAAAGTGATCAAAATTATAATCAGCATAACATATAACGAGCTCAACAGAATCTACGAAAACTTTGAGGGTGAGTGAGCATGTTAGAGTAGGTACCTTCTTATCACTGCGCGCACACACCCAACCGCCAAATCCAACTTACTTATCCACTCTCAATCAGATGGTATAATATTCAGAGTTGCTTAGAGGTAATCCAGGCTGGGGGGGGGGAGATTACCAAAAACGGGCAATCACGTTTAGGGAATCAGAACAATTCGTTTCAGTTCGCAGAAAGAAAACGAATTTTTTGAAGAATTAGGCAATCGTTGACCTCACTATGCTAGCTGTGATAGTGTTGAGAATACAGACCACTAAAACAAAATTCGTGCGCTAGAACAATGGGTGAGTTTTTCATGTACATGGCTCAATGAACTATTTTTGAGAAAATTCTACCATTATCAAATAGAAATATTTTCAAAAGTAAACTTAGCACTGATAAACAGCTTTTTTTTCGTGTAGAAAGTTTGTTCGAACACCATTTTTGAATTAAGAAAATATCACACAAAAAGTGTCCATGGATGTTAGAATTGCTCCTACGACTGATCAACCTGTCGGTGATATTGTTCCCAATTGGACACCTCGTGCTAACCCAGGTTCGAATCCTGAATACCGTATACTTCAAGGTCAATATTGTCGACTTGAGTTGCTTACTTCAGCAACCAGTAGTATCACGATTCAACAGCTTTATGAGGCACTCAAACCAACTGAACAGACTCATTTCACCTATTTGATATATGGACCATTTAAGACAATTGATGAATTCACACAATTTCTACACTCGTTGCAACAACCTAGTAGCAATACGGTGGTATATAGCATCATAGTGAATGAGGTAGCAGTAGGATTTATTACTTATTTGAGAATTGATGAGGAAAATGGCGCACTTGAGATTGGTCACGTCAATTTCAGTCAGCAGTTAGCACGCACTCGACAAGCCACAGAAGCGAGCTTTTTATTAATGCAATACGCCTTCGATACACTTGGCTACAGACGAGTCATGTGGAGTTGCAATCCTCTGAATGAAAAATCATATCGAGCAGCTTTGAGGCTAGGCTTTCAATATGAAGGTACATGGCTCAAAATGGCGATCTGTAAAGATCGTTCGGCAGATATGGCATGGTTCAGTATTGTGAATGACGAATGGGGACAAGTCAAACAGGAAATACAACGATGGCTTCATCCAGACAATTTTGATGCCAACGGTCAACAGTTAAGTAGATTGAATGCTGCACGAGCAAATCCTCGTCGCAGTAAAACAGTGACCTCAAGTGATGGGAAGCACAATTGATTAAACTAGACATGAGCATTGTATTGTATAATTGACAAATATTCGATTCTTTTTAATTTGACTTTGTTCGATTTTGTCAGTGTTCCCAGATTGAGAAATAAAAATTTTCTCTAGTTTGTAAACGATTCACGCAATTAAATAAAATTCTACATTTGACTTGACTGGTTATGGGATCAAAGATGAAGTAAGTCGCTTGACAGATGTGTGCTGGCAGGCAAACGAGGTTGTGAGTGTGGCTGTTCCCTTCATCTGCCTACTTCCTTACTCATTGTTATGACGACATTGTTAAGTAAAGAACTCATTATATTTGTTTTTCACTTCCTGAACATTCATCTTGAAACACTCATAGACTGTTCCTCATAGTTTTTGTTTCAAATTTTATACAGCTTCATAAGAAACATAACTTTCATGCCAAATTAAGGAGGGTATGGGTGTGGGGTCTTCTCTTCATCATAACCTTATCCACAACGAAAAATAGGTGAATATTTTCTTCACGTAGAATTCGATGTTATATGACAATGCTCTTCTTTTATTTCAAGTTGTTCGCTAAAAATTACAGAGTGACCTTTCGTTGTAAACAAGACACATAGAGATAAATTTAATATAATGTAGACCAAAAAATATAGTGCGTGGGTGAAGAGAAGATCCTTGTTCATTTCATCCTCATATACTTTGAGCGCGACAGATGCTTTTTACAGATAGACTTCAAAAGATCTATTTCAAATCAGAGCTATGTGTGTATCATCGTTTAACTATCAATGATGAAAGTATGTCTTTTTTATAGAATAGACGACAGTAGCTTGTTGATCCAGGTATATCTCTCTTCGGAAGAAGTGACTGTTCAAATCGTATTCATAAATATAGAACAAAATACTGGTACAATAATCGCAATCGATACATCTTTTTTCCGAAATCAAAGTGAGAAACATATACAAGATGCACTGGTTCTAAAAGCGAAACAAAGAAATACGTTACGTACACCGATGCTAATCATCATATCGCGAAGTATCGAATTTTGATTATGTAGCTCGATTTCTAGTGAGATTATAATATTGTAAACTCCTTTGTCTTAAAGATTATTAAAATTTCAGGTAATTTTTTGCTAGGATAAAAACAAACCCGTTCTTGCTCATTGTCAACCTCGTGCTAAAAATATCGAACAACATCTAGAAGCAACTACATTTTTAGCGTTTATATGGCTTCTTTTGGATTATATGACTGCCTGTATGTCAGAAAAATCATGATCATCAAGGACAGATGAACGGATTTCTAGAGTTTATCTATCGTAAGTCACATATTGCAACTTCAAGCTCAAGAAAGCACTCATACCACAAGATCTCTCCTTTGAGTCGATGCTTATGTGAATATCATCACTCTCTATCGTCATATTTTTTGAATTTTACAGAGAAAAGATGCATTCTAATATATATTAAAATTCTTGGTGCATTAAAACTTTGATTCTAGAGTCGATTTATTTTGTTGCTGTTGACGTCTAAAGAATATCTGAATTTGTCGGGTGTCCCATATCCATACTCAATCGACGATTATCTTTTATAGGTTGATCTTTACTGTTTCATTGCATTCAATAAACTATATTGTCAAGATCAGTAGCACTCAGATAATGACAATATATTGATGATTGAAAAGCATGTGACGTTATTTTTGCTTACACGATTTGTCTATGTCAATGGGAAAGTACGCAATTAAAAGAAATTTTGTCTTTGAATATATGAGCAAAATTATTGAATGAGTGTGTATTTGCGCTAGAAAATAGTTGACAAGTCAAATAGAAATCTTGATTACTAAAAAATTGATGACTCCATGAGTTCAGATATGGTTCTATTTATCTATGTACATTATTAAAAAATGTCATCATATACATCGAATGAAGTGATGCTGTAATCTGACATGGAGCGTTTTCTTTTTAGACCACCATGCAAACGTAGAAATGTATTCTTTGTTGTTGGTGTTGGCCAGAGATTATCATACACTATTTGTTGATCAGTGATGACACGCGCGCAAAGACATTTGAGTCGAGGTAATCTCTGTTTCGATTGTAATAGAGCGCGAATTTCATCGACGGTGGCTACATCGACAGGTCTATGACCACGAGCATTAGCACAATCGATATGAGCTCCTGCATTGATCAACAGTTCAACAATTGCCTTTGTGTCTTTATTATTACCAGGTGCCCAACTCTGCAAAATCTTATGTAGAGCAGTGTCATTGTTCACTAGATCTACAGCATCTAAATCGATCCATCGCTTTCCAAAGCAAACAAGCAGTCGAGTAGTAGCCAAATTGGGAAAACTAAAAGTGGACAACAATTTAATAAATAAATCAAACTATATCATATAAAATTTTATTTCACTACTCATTTTTGACATGTGATCTACCTCAAGAAAATCAAATGTACCTAATCATTGATTGCCTGTTTCGATCAACACGTCAACAATAGAATAAAATCGCTTGATATTCAGATGGTAATTTTTTTTCATTTTTCAAAAATCAGGTTTGCTGTATCACAGGAACTTTCGACTCGAGCTCACTTACATGAGAGTATGCATGATATCTGCCGGTCGATAATTAATATCTCCGTATGTTTCAACATCAACGCTCAAATGCAACAATGTTCGTCCGTTTTCTGTTCGACGTTTTTCTCGACACAAGTCTTTGATCCATTGAATGATTAAGTGACGATCTCGATCACTCATTGTTGATTGCTCAAGAATCTAAAATTTAGGAGAAAATGGAAGAAATATACTTTTTAATCCATCTATATAGTCATTTATTAGTGTCATCAAAATTTGAAAGTTTTATTATAGAAAGATGGAAACACTGCTACTTGATATTCGTACAAAAATTGAATGCTTATAAAGAACCTTACAAATTGTTCTTCACTTGTTTTAGATAAATTTTACTTTTCTCATAGTATTCAAAATATGATTTCATCTTTATCAATTAAGATCGATACTGAATACCTGAGATAAATTTTGGTTTTAAAGAATGAACATTTTACTACAGATATTTCGTTTTGTTTGATTGAGTATGTGTTTTGAAGAAAACATGTCAAATAAAAAATAATTCTTAGAGAAAAGGTTTTTTGGAAAAACGAAAAGGAGTGTAAGACTATTTTCTAGCTCTTAACAAATTTGAGACATGCTCTGGCAAGAGTTTTGGCAGTTGGAACTACCCAGAGATGGCAAAACAGCATTTTCTTTTTTTCCAATCTAAATATGTTTGAAAAATTTCAAACTAATGCACTATCACATCATCGGCTCCACTGACCTTATCTGAATACAACATCGAGCAAATGAAATACTAATAAGACTATGAATAAAGCAACGATTATGGACTAAAAAAAACCATTTCTGTTATGGATTGCCATGCGTCATATACGGTTCATTCAATCAAGTCACTGAGTTGGCTGCTACTTCAAACCTTTTCATCGTACGTAACTTCTCATGTTCTATCCGATGACGCTATCAAAAAAAGCAAAAAACCCTGCAGAACAGAATTAAAGACTAAAACTACGACTAAATTCTATAAAACTATTACATAGGATCCTAGTCAGAAGTACATACCAGATGTTCATATCAGCTAGTATGCAGTTTATCTTAGAGAGCGGAATGAGGAGTGCTTACACTCGAAAACTTACTCTCAGTATTGTTTTCTTGCAGAGATATGGACAACGTAGTACGCTTCACAGAACTTCAATAGATAAGATCTCAGAGCAATCTTGATAAGATTGAGTCGTTTCACACGTATGTATGGGTATTTGTTATATTCAGCACAATGCGTCACGAAATCAAGAGAGATTCATTTCTATGTATTTGTGGCGGCCTATGATTGGGACTAGAATATATCATGAATAGAAAAAAATAGGTTTTTTGAATTTTGGAACTTAAAATCGATTCGGAATCCAATAATTTGAAACTTCATGGTTCGAAAATCCACATTATCATGTCGACATTTTTGCGAATGTATGGAACCAAATGAATCTAAATCTTCCTCTGAATACTTCGACACATAATAACAATCGTGTTTCACAAAAATCTTGAATTTATTGATGGGTAGAAAATAACTTTATTTGATCTTCTCCTTGGTGGCCACCTTTGCAGATGAACATCATTTCAATCAAAACTCAATCTTCTTACTAAGTTCACTGCTTCAGTCATATCTTCGCTGCAAGAGCCACTAGACACACAGCGTTCACAATGTTGTCTTCATTCGTTGTCCGTTGCGATGGCTCGAAGACAAGACGACATGCATCTCAAAAATGATCAGCACGAATAGGTACATTCGCATTCAACATTCTGCAGAAGATCCAGACGAAATGATGAAGACCAGTGCGAAGCTCCATTTGTTGATATAGATAGAATGTGTGGAACAACAGATTTAGGCAACGATCAAACTCGGTTCGTTCAGCTAATACCATTGCTCGTTTGAGTAATGGTTGAAACAAACGTTCACTTTTTTTAGGTAGAAGAATACGTTCTCGAATGAGAAGTGCTTCAACGTAGAGACGATCTTCATTGTCTTGAATGCGATCAAGTTCATTGAGAGATTGACATTCTTGCTGATTATCATAAGCTGTTATCGGCGGAGAAACAATGTTCGGTCTCTCCAATAGCACACGCGTATGGGGTGACAATTGTAATAAGCCCACCATCTCTTCTGATCTGGGATGCAGAACACCATTGTCGGGGACCATAAACGAGACAGCAACAAACTCAAGATCATCGAAAGTAGCGTCATCATTATTATATCGAAGTAGAAATCGACCGTGTCTAGATGACCATACCAAGCTGCGATCATCAATGGCGTTATTCCAGAACTAGTTTTCGCATTAGAAGAAGCGCCTGCTAATGAAAGCAAACGAACTAATGCATCGTGACCAGACCTAGCAGCAGCGTGCAACGATGTTACAACACACACATGTATCTGATAGTGTATATTGGCTCCTCTCGCTATCAAATAGTCGGCGATTTGTGTGTAGCCTTTGATTGCACATAAGAAGAGACTACTGACTTGGTACATATCATTGGTCACTGCTCGATTAACATCAGCATAACCATTCTCGACTAAATAGTGTACAATATCGAACCGCCTTCTTATAGTAGCATCAATCAACAATGGACCTCGTAGACCATGATTGACGTCGGCACCACCAAGATCAATCAAGGTTCGTGCCGCATGAAAATGTCCTCGATCAAGTGCACACCACAATGCAGTGACATTTCTCGTTAGGTGATTGTTTATGTCAAATGCACATCCTTCTTGCTCAATTTGTTTTTTGTTGGCCAAAGTATGAGTAAGCATGATGCGTACTACCTCATCATGTCCATTAAGAGCAGCCAACATGAGTAGACTGAAATACTCGTTTTTGAATTTACCGCATAACATGAACGTGTGACAGGCGAAAGACTTCTTACGAAGGTATGCATCGATCTCGATCGATCTACCATGACGAACCAGTTCGTAGAGCTCATTAAGAATGACCGAAATATATTTTTTCGCCAGTGTGGCATTCATTTCGAGTGAATTCCTTGTCATATCTACGAAATAATCAAATGTACGATTGTAATAGGTTTTTTAAATAAAAAATCGAAAGTGACTTAATGCAATGATGCAACCACACGATGCGCACAACTTTTCATAAGTATCTTATGAAGGTAGGAAGGCGACCTATGCAAATAATAATACAGCCAATGTGATTCATTCATGAAGGAAAAGAAAAAGAAAAAGAAAAGAAATTGTGGGAGCATGAATGCAATTCTGTCGGTACTTTCAAGCAACTTTTGCTATAGAAGATGTGTCGCGGCAAGCATAAAAATGATGTGCTTGAACATACATTGGAGAAAAGAAAATGCCAACGTGTCCTATATTGAATGCACAGGTACTATCATCTTTTCTATGCATCAACCACACTATTCAATATCAGAGCTTTTCACTACACTCATGTTTTTGTGTCGAAGTTGAGAAGACCGGACTAATTGACAAAATTACATCCAGTATACGACTAGTTTCCAATGCGCATGGACATACTCATATTGGCTGCAGTACATATTAGGTAAAATAACGATGAACATATCGAGTGTCTCCAATGTAAGCAATAATTTAAAACAGTTTGTTCATTGAGCACAACGATCTTATATTTATCACATCGAACGTTCCACAATATATATATATATATATAAGTCGGCATTGGAGCTATCACAAATGCTTATCTTGATCATTATTGGTTTTTTAGTGGAACTCATTTTTCAGCAATGTAAAAAAAGCGATTGATCTGATTTTCAGAATCGACTTGGCTCAATTCTTTTCATTGCCATTGGTCAAATTTTCAGTACTGTAATAACATTTAAATCATTTTTCAAAGAGCATGCTCTTTTCATGCATATATGTTCATTTGTATAAGAATGAATCACACTTTGTTCATCATATTGCAAGAATACGTCAGTAGTTACTATAAAATATCACATTTTTCATGGAAAAATTGTTATGCAATTTGCTATCAATGTTTATGACACATTCAGTATTATTATCCACCATTGTCCACTTTATGGCAAGTCTTACTCGTCTATTACTCACGAGAAACGACAAGTAAGTTACTTGCATAGAAGCATAATGGTGAATTCTTTTCTTCTACTATTTTTCTCTATTTGTTCATTGCAGCCATGGCTCTAATCGTTGTTATTCTAATCTTTGCTTACATGATAGGGTGCAGTAGATTTTCAATCGAATTATCCAAAGTATTCGATCGACTCTGTTGAATCCAATGGATTAATGCGTTTTTCTATGTTTCGAATGTCATTACAATCAATGAATTTAAAGATCTCATGTTCTATTTGCCGAATATCTGTCTGATGATGAGAAAGAACCTACTTGATGTACGAATGCTCATTCATATTCAGGAATAAGATATGTGAATGAATTCTTTTGCTTTGATAATGATTGCTGTAAAATGCTCACTTTAGCCTTCATTCAGCTCATCGAACTTCAGAAGACATGACGTTGATGTTGGCTAATAGAAGATTAATATTCACAGCCACACCCTTTGTTCGGATTATATGTGAAATTGTATTTGGTAGATCTTGCAACTATTGTATTGAAAGATTTCAATTTTGCTGATATGCTATCTTCACAAGCTGCTATATTCAACTAAAATGAAGGCATCGATTCTGTTTATGACATAAATAAGAAAATGGCAAAAAGGAGCAAAGAACAAGCAAGGAAACATTTTGTTGCTCTCAGAAATATGATACCCCTACTACTAATTGAAAAATTTAATACTGAGTGCTGTGTATGAGGATTATGTTTGTCCGGTGAATTAGAATACAAAAGCATGAAAGAGGAAGTAGTGGAAGTATTCTGACATAGAAAATAATTTCATATAGTTGTTTCTGTAATCTGCACCATAAACTTCATTTTCATAATCATATTGCAGGTAATTAGACCAAAATAAAAACTTTTTCCAAATGTACGTATTTCAGACAGTAAAAAGTTCGGCACCATTATTTCTCTTATTTATTTGGGTCCATATTAAAGGTTTGGTGACACTCCTTCATCATAGCCAGATTTGAAAAGCAATAAGAATGAATATTCGATCAATTGATTCGCTGACAAATAGACTAACTCTCTATACTCCGTTTGTTATACTCATTTTGTGCAATCTTAAATGCCTGCTCAATTTAGTAACATTCACTGTCAAGCAATTGCGATGAAATTCATGTGGATGGTATTTTTTGATGTCAGCTATTTTCGACTGAACCTATCTGAACTTTAATCTCGTTTCAAAACTAGAAAGTGATCATTACAGAAGTACGCTGGAAAACAAGTCGTCTATCTGTTGTAAAATGTGTGTGTTTTTCACATGAACACTACCGTGAATTTCTACCAGTCTTCTCATGCTGGCAGCGCTCGACCAATGTTTATCTCCATGGCAAAGCACAACTCTCCGCTCGTTTAGTAAAATCACAATGGCAAATCACATTACATGCATTCCGATTCTTCTCTATAGTCTCTCTGCTGCACATCAGTTTTAATATTTTGATCTTCGACGACATTGTTCACCAAAATCCGGTTATTATTCTCGTTTCCTCTCTTTTTTTAATATCTTTTGGACAAACACAATTCCTCAAGACAGCATGTTTATATGTGGTCTGATCACCTACTTTCATGTACAAGCAAGCCGTCGGTGAATTACCAGCCAAAATGAGCATCCATTGCGTCAAACACACAGCTGTACTAATGCTCAAATGATTACCATGACACTTGTTCAAGTGTTGATCAGTACAATATTGCTCAGCATTCGAACAGTATATTACTCATATATTGTGCTCTCAAAGAGTTTCACTAAAAGTCCGGAACGAATAGCTATAGAGAAGCTTTTTTGGCAAGTATCTAGTTTCGTTATGTACATAAATTTCAGCAAAAGCTTCTTTGTTAATCCTCTAACGAGTAAACTATTTCGCTAATTTTTAGTTCAACGTCTGCTTTTCGGCTTCAAAAGAGTACCGTTGTGAATTATTCGTTTTCAATCTACGATAACAGCAAACTTTGAACCTAACCGATTAAACAAAACACAACCAAGAATATAACATACTGCGAACAATCAGTAGACACGTTCTTTTTCAATGCAGAAAGTCAATGAACAATTAAATAACTTCCTGAGCTCTACCGAATACAGCCTACAATAGAGAAATAAATTCAAATTCTTTTCAATATAAACTAAATTGAATTGTTGATGATAAAGAAGTCTGCTTTGTTGAATGATTTCAGATTTCTATAATTTACTTAAATTCGTTAATTTTTTCATGTCAAAAGATCTATTCGATCACTAGTGGCAAAAATACGCGTCCTAGTGGATTTAATGCGTATGTTATAGAACAAATAGAAGATGACTGTATCTTATGCATATGTCTACAATCAAGAACACGGGTAATAACAGTATTATTATAGATATCATAACTATCGTATTTTAATTGAATATAATGAATAAAGCATGTCATCATTAACAATAAATAGCAATTATAATAATAGCAATGCCACTGATGAGGATGATTGGTCCATCTGTATATGAAAAACGAAGTCAACAAATATTTCTCATGATTTTGATTTAGCCACTACCAAAGATATGCAATTGTTATTTTGACAATTTATTAGATTACTTTAAAAAAATGATATTCAACTAAAGTGACTTCAAAAACTTCTTATTATACATACTATATTTTTAATCGAAAAAAGAAATAATTTGAATGTTTTTAATATTTGATAGGCTGATTCTAGTTATTAAATTTTTGTTTTAAATTACTTTTTTTCTGAATAAATCATGTAAGAAAAAAGGTTCAAATGTTGTTGACAATTTTTATTGAAATCTCCCACGAGATCATCATATAAACGTTGTTTTTATAGGTCGAAAAGATCTTCATATTTTGAGAGTCAATGGTGAGTTTCTTATCTATAATCTTTGATACAGAACAACTAATTAAAATTTTGACTGATCAGTGCGACTCTAATTATCTCTTATGCAATATAGAAAAAGTACTCTAGTCCTTTTAGATCATGACGATAATGTATTTTGCATTATTACCATCAGATTTTCTCTGAAATTTGTTTTTAGCAATAACTATTGCTCCAAGTCTATAATTATGGATGTGTAAACGATCTAGTGTGCACACTATAATATCACGAAGAATTTCTAGCGCTACTCTCACAAAATCTACATCTTGATATTGTAGACTCATTATTCTATACGGGCTTCTTAAATCTACTTATAAATATACTAGTGTCAATCACGCAAAAAATTCAAAGAAGTTAACCGACGAACTGTTAAATAATAGCAAAAGAATGAAAAAAAAAAGTTTTCGATGATGTGAGAAATTTCACTTGAGATACTAATATTAACACGTAAACATTGCCAATATTTCCATATATATATATAAATTTGTTAAGAGAAAATGATCAATAAAAAATATACAGAAAAAAATCTATTCACCTTATCAGTCAAGCTTATATTGACGGCCGTCAAGAGAAAAATAGTAGACCCTATGATTCTTGAAGTTTCATCAAGTTTTGTTGAGTTCAACGAAGTCTGTGGAAGTCTGATAAAAAAATCTTTTGAATCTGTAAAGTTTATCATGAAACATAATTCCAAGACATTTGTAAAAATTCACATTTATTTAAGCTAAATGAAGTTTATTAACATGGAAAATAGTATAGAAAGATAAATCAGAAATCAGTAGGAAGAATAACATTAAAAAATTGTTTAAAAACAATAAAATGTTTTATTGTGGTGTATCCCAAATAAATAAATGTAAATAAAAATGTTCAAAATGCAAACAAAAATTTGTTTCATCATTATTTGATATTAATCTACAAGTTTCTCTTTGAAGATCTTTTCCTGCTCTCTCCTTTTGTTCATTGTTCCAATTAATTTGAAACTTTCCATAAATCATTTTTCGAAATCTATCAATAACTCGATTTAAATAAGCTCGACGTATAGGCATTCCATGCATTGATAATCGAATAACATTGGGAAACATTTGACATAATACGTCTGGTCGAACATCTGTATAACGATGGTTTCTTGGATTGTAAATTATATCAAGAACACGAATTTGTTCAAATTTTAAGCACCAACCAATTTTATGTAAGCTTAATACTAAAGAATTTATATTAATTAATGATAAATGATATAAATTAGGCATACGATTTAGTAAATCATGCGGAATTGTTGTGGAAATTTCTAATTGTTTTATTCGTGATAAATCAACAATTGACAATATATTATAATTTGTTGAATCAAAAGCATCATCACTGATTCGTAAAAAATCAATATTATCAAAACGATATTCAGGAATTATTGTTGGATTATGAATTGTTAATTGATTAATTGTATTGAAAAATAGTCTTTTATCTTTTGCTGTTGTTCGACATGTTAACATATTATCTGATCTAGAACATGTTGATGTATAACGTGGAACTGTATAAATTAGACCACGACCATTGTATGAGACGTACCATGGGCGAATACGATTCAGCCAGTATGGACTAGAAAATTGTTTAATAATTTGATTTGCATTCATGTTCATATAGGACCAAATTGTAAAACAGAAATCAAATTCAATTAATTGATTTCCATAAGTTTCATGTAAAAACTCTTCCCATCGTTGACCATTCGCTAAATCAATATCACCTTCGGTTTTTATATCTAAATGTGCTAGACGAGGCAATTGTGATAGTAATTCTTCTAATTCATTTAATGTTATAGATTGAACTAAAACAAAAATAAAAGAAACAAATCATTTTTCATTATGTTTCTTTAAAATCTGTTCTAAAAACAATAAAAGACTGAACTTTTCTCATCTTTAATATTAGTCGAAACTCCAAACTCAGATTCAATAGTCGTTCTTCTTCTTTTCTTATTCTCAACCGACGCTACTATAGAACTGTAACACATACTTGCACTTTGAAGAAGCAAGAAGTCGTCGTGCAAAATACAGAATAGATAGAAGTATAATGAGTTGTATATATCTAACTCGATTGTAATCCATATTTATCTATTTTCTTTAAAGGACAATATCTTTTAGTAGTTAGTTGAAAAATTAAAACTTATGACGAGAACCTAATCATGAGCTTTACTTTCTTATATTTTCTTCGCTTTAAATTATCTACAGAGTATCCATCAAACACAATACGAATATACAGCAAAAGTTGTGATTTGTAATGTCTGAGCCATTCTGAAGTTGATTGGTATCGAAGAAATTGATTTTTTATAATAATAAATATACAAATTGAAACAAATTTTTGAAAATTTCTTGAAAATTCCTAGTAACTAAAAACTAAACGAATAAAACCTTTAGAACTAAGATACTTATTGACAAAACTCTCATAATAATTATAATTAAGAAAAAGAAACTTCCAAAACATATGACATTCACGTATTAAGAATATCAAATCGTTCATTTATCAAATTAATTCTATTCGTGATCTTTGACCATTTGAAAGGTTAAACTAACATATTTCACTTTCAGGAACAGAAATAAAGAGTTTTGTTTTAAAATTTCTTGATTTTAAAAATGACTCAAAAATTATATGAGTTTTTTTTATTGAAACTGCCAAACAGCGCTAAACACATATAGTCAACTGTTTTAATTAAAAGAAACGTTTTTCTACGTATTATACTAAGGATCAACGAAGTTGTTTTTTTTATAATATTCATAGTTTTTTTAATCATGTAAAGTCCACATAAATAATGTTAATTCGATAATAATATGAACATACGTTTATCAACATATATCAGGAAAGGTGAAAAAAACATACCAGCAATGCTAGATTGGAATCTTACTAAAAAGTTTCGATAGGATTAGGTGGAAAAAAATCTGAGAATCAGAGCTATCTTATAGATTAATATTGAAATTTCATCAATTATAGAATAAATAAACTTACTATCAATTTGTAAATTGAGCCGTTTGAGTTTATAGGGTAGTCGAGCAAACTTTGGCCAACTATTATCTCCGATAGCCGAAAAAATTCCATTTGTTAAAGCAAACGCTTGAAATTTTCTTTGTGGTACAATATAAAATATATGTTTTAATTGTTCAAATGTACAACGAACAACAGATAAACATTTTAAATTTTGAATATGTTCTTCTGATAATTGATCAAAAAATGCTGCATCTGGTAAATCCAATCGAATTAATCGTGATACAATATTTTTAAATCTTAAACCTGTATATGATGGAAGTCTATCCAATTTAAGACATTTTAACTTGTTAAATCTGTATATATTTGGTAATATTTCAAGAAAATATTCTTCATCAATATCAATAAGTGAAAGTTTTTCAAGTCGAATAAATTCAGATAAATTATGTTGTTCTGAAAAATTTCTAATATGTGTAAAACGAGGAACTGAATAGCCATTTGAAATAACTAAACATTTTATTTTATGTTTTAAATCCGTTAATAAAAGATCATAAGTTTTCTTATGTGTATTACGAAAATCTAAATAATAATTATCATAACTATATAGAACAGAATTCATATGTTGATTTATATTATATAATGAGTGAAACATTTCATTTGCCCAAAGATATGTAAATATAATATGTAAAATTTCAGGCGGCAAATCATTTAATCGAGATGCCATTTTCCAACGAATTTTATCTAGTGCGTCCGAGTATAATTGAAAAAATAAATAGCTGCGTAAAATTAAGTAATAATGGCTCAATATGTATATATGCGTTATAAATAGCCCTGTAAAGGTAAATATTTTTTTTCATGATATTTTATAAGCATGATATCTATCGGGGTGTCTTGTCGAGCCTACCTTAACATCAAATGAGGAGCATAATTTTTTTTCCTTTATTAATCGTTAAATATTGAGAAAAGGTTATTTATAATTGAAAATGTTTTTACCTGGATGAATCATTAAGTTATGAAAGAAAGAAATTATAAAATATTTCATGATTAATATACACAAATTTATTGTCGTACAAAAAAGATATTATACAAAAAAGTATTTATGCATCAAATCATAATGATGAAACATTATTTATAATGGTTGATAAACGTTCTTTACAATCCAAATCATCCATTAAATACGATGACCTGTTTCATTAAATCAAACCATAAAAATATCGAAATTAATATTTAAGCGATTAAGCATAAATACACACTAGGAATTATTTCGTAATAATCAATTATTGTTGCGAAGACAAATATATGATTCGCAAGAAGTTTGTCACTCAAAATATTAAAAAAAGTCTCTTACAATAAATGATCAAGAATCAATTATTGAATATTTTTCGGCTAGAAGATCTACTGTAACAATTCCTGCAGTAAAACTTAAAGCATCTTGAAAATGAATTCCGTTAGACCTCGATTAATAATGGAAATGATGGATTCTATTTTTGTATTGATAACAAGAAAGAAGTACAGATATCTTAATAAAACAAAATGGTGCTCTTTCTTTTTTCAATAAAATGAATAAGAATTAAAAAAGACTTGATTCGAACTCTTAAGGCTTCCTTCACTCAGAAAATCTATTGTTTCGAGAAAAAACAATCAAGGTCAAGTTTTTATCATGGGAAGATGCTTCGAAGCTTCTTCTTTCAGAATATCTATGACTTTTTGGAAAAAAAAGCCGAATTTAAACAGACTTTCGAAAGAAATCTCAACTCTATCGTGTTTTTCGAGAAATTTTCATGGTTTCTTGGTTTTGAGAAGACTTCCTTTTTACTTTTAAAAATTCCACTTAAACATATTGTTAATATGCCATTTTAATACTTCTTTTCCTCTGTATTTGAATGAAAAGTTTTAATCAGAAAAATTGAAACTTCTCCCACCCACTTCAATATATAACCAATTTTTGCCTTTGTTTTAAAATGCTAAATGAGAGTAAACTTTTGTACATCATTTTTTGAAAATTTCAGTTCAAATAGTTCTTTCTAACTGGTAAATACTATTGTGATGTGAGGAGAAGGGAGTTTCTTAAGTGTATCGAAACTTCTATTTGACTTGGATCCAGATTCCGATTGTAAACAGATCTAGAGTTAACTTGTTGAGTTCTATTTCACAAAGTCGAGAAGACAAGTAATAGTAAACCGATGAAGTCTGTAAAGAACTTGTATTCATCACCAATTTTTTAGTGCTCTTAAACTTTTTTTGGCATAATAATGTAATAGTCGGTATTGAACCGCTTTCGGCAGATTAAATTGTTTAATTGACAACACCAAATTTTAGCAAAAGAATTTCATTAATTTGAAATGTGTTTTATAAAACGTTTTACTCGTGGATATTTTATATAAATAATTGAAACAATTAAACAATGTCTATTTAATAAAATTTGAATGAAAAATACAAATATTCATTCATCAACTTCATCTCTGATTTCATCATCAACAGTAATATCATCTCCTGGTACAATAACTTTGTCTAAACAAGATAATTGTTCAAGTTGTTGATATAGTTCTCGACGATGATCTAATGTTGTCGTTGAATTCTCATTCTCATCATTGGTTGATATAAATAAAGAAAATTGAGTTTTGAATTGATCCGATGAAAGTAAATCAATTAATGATGGTTGAAGCAAATCATGTAATTGTTCACGTAATTGATCAATATTTTCAGCTATATATTTGGCACATTTAAGACGTTTCATTATTCGTTGAGTTTTTAATTGTCGCATTGTATATTCATATTGAAGTGTGCGAATACGACATGCTGAAAAATTTTCAACTTGACGACGATATTCTATGACAATAAAAAATAAAAAAAATAAATGAGCAAAAGAAAAAGAAAACTGTACCATCCCAAAAATCTCGATTTTTTTGTAATTGTGCATCTCTCCATTGATCTAATTCTCTTTCAGTATTTTCGATTGCTTGTAAACGTTGTTCAACTTCATGTGCTAAATGTTCTAAATCTTGTAAAACTTTTTGTGCATCATCATGACGTTTTTGAGCACAATTATCGCATAAATATAAATCAATATTTGAATTTGTTTTTGGTTCTCGTTCAGGACGAATTTGACGTTTTACGGAAGAATCAATTATTGAGCAATCATCACATATATGAACATATGAATCAGATTCATTTTCTTCATCGAGTTGTTCAACTAATTGATGAAGAACATAAAGAACATCTTCATCAATATTTTCTTCGGTCATTTTTACTTGAAGAAATAATAATGACAGATCTATTAGATAATTCAAAATTGAAAGATGAAAATTACGAGATTTTGATAACTGGAATGAATTAGTCCGATATTTCTCTGGATTTAATTTTGACAATTAAATAGAAGATTTTTTTAATCTAAAATAATCATAAGAAAATCGATAAATAGAGTAGATCGATATCAATGTTTTAAAATTATAAATCTTGTTCAAGAAATTATTTTGTAATCATTCGAATAATTTTTCCAAATTTAGAAAATTACTCGAAATTTCGATATGAAAGTAAATAGATTTATCGCATAGTTCGTAAATTTTATTTTGCATGTTAATTTGTTATATAAAATAAAAATCCAACATAAAAACGTATAAGTGAAGATGTCCGAAACCATTGTCTTGGGCTTCAATTTTAATTAAAAGAAAGTTTTTTTTCTTCATTGTCAAAAAAATTTCATTTTTTTTTTGTTTTATTCAGCCAACAAATAGCATAGTTTTACTTTAATTTTTAGTCTCGATCAATTATTAAATTATTTAGTCGAAATTTTTTTCAAAATATATCACTTAATTATGACCGAAATGCAAAAGCTCCTTAAACTTTATTTAACGTCTTAATTCAGAGTTGTGATAAGTTAATATTGAATCTCATTTTTTTTTTTATATAAAGCTGAAATCAGTATTTTATTCTGATTTTTTCTTTCATGTTAATGTTAATAGTTTCAAACTTATCAGGAGATAGATAGACGAATAGCAACTTTTCAAATGGAACAAAATCGATTTCTAGAGATTATGCCGCTTTCTCTACTCCATATTAGTTTGAATGAATATTTTGATTTACTAGAAAAATCTTGGAAAAGATAATATATCTTAAACTTATTTGTACAAAAGATCGAGATGTAAAAAGCGAGAATAAACTTAAAGCTTTGTCTTGTTTGTTTCAAACATGAACGAATTCAATTTTTGTTCTATTTAAGATTCTTTCATGATAAAATATTTGATTGATTCATGATAAAATTTTCTATATTCTATTAGGAAGATAAGGAAAGAATGTGAAACTAAATAAAGCACAAACAGATAAGAAAGTTACTTAAATAAAAACTAAAACTGCTGTTTATTAATACGACTACAACTACTGTCCAAATGATTAAAATACGAAATGATTATTGATTATGTGAATGTTCTTTTGCCGTTTTGAATAAAATATTGGGTTTAAGAAGTTTTGGTATCCACCAAAATATATTAATTGATTGAGGATGAATAAATAAATTATCCGAATCAATATGAATTTTATTAGATGTTGATAAATGAGCTTTTGGCCATTGATATTCATAATGAATATGTAATGGTACATCATGTTTTGTTAATTCATATAATGATACATGCGCTATTTCATTGGGGTTTCGATTTAAATTGAAAACCGTCTTTTAAAAGAGAAAAAAAAAGTTTAGAATCTAACATATTTATTTTAAAGAAAAACCTTACGACATATCCTTTATGACCAGGTGCTTCTCTAATAAGCCAAAATAGATTTGTTGCTGCATCATAACTTGATTCTAATAAACCAAATTGAAATGATTCATATTGACGTAAATTTGATAAGCGACGGAAAACATTTAATAATGAATCTTTTGATTCACCACCTAATGCTTCTTGACGCTAAAAATGTTTATTGTTTTTATTTCTCTATTTTGTATTTAACAATATAAATTACTTTAACACTTGTTGGTGGAAGACCCACTTGATAGGATGATAAAACCTTGCTACAATTTTGTGGTGGACATGCAGAAAATCCACCGTATGCTCCATCAGATGTCCATGGCATTAAAGGAAAAGATTTCTATAAAAAAAACATTGTTCACTATAAAAAAAAACTGTCAGCACAATTCTTGTCGGTTTAAAATGTGAAACACGACGTAGTTACTGTTGCTAATGACAGGAAAAACTGTTTGATTCTGTCTATTTTCGGATATATATGTGTACCATCTTCTCCAGAAATGCAATAGAGAAGTAGTTCATATTATACTTGACACTGGACCGATCCGATTGAACTCTTAAAACTGGTCATTTTTTTATTTATATTGATTTTTATCAGACATTAAAGCTGACCTGTTTTATTGGTTTTTACCGGTTTCCATGGCTTAGCGATTAAAGGATATGTGCTTGGAAGTTTCTAACTGACAAATTTTCAGTAGTTGTTAAAATTTCAGTTCTAAATCTTGAGCTAACACTTTCTCATCATATGATGAGAGCCTCGGATCATGATGAATGAATTTATTGTGCTAACAGAAAGTTAGCCAAATACTAGAAGTCAATTTCGATCTAAACTAAAGATTTTTCACCTTGAAATTTTTGAACACACTTTTCTGGACTATTTTTAAACAACTTTCATAAAATCCCAATAGCTAGTAGTTTCCAGTTTATGCTTTCATTACAAAATATCAGATAAATTTCGTTGTTTTCAAGATCTTGCCCAATACAAGCATTTTGCAATTGTAAAAATGTTTAGATATTAACAAACCTAATAATAGGAAGTCTAATATAATAAACATATATTTTAGCTCAGGTTATCTTGCTGTCAGCAATAAAATCCTTTTACGAGTTGAAATGCTTTTCAGCTGTGTTAAATAACTGCTGCAAACAAAAATAGATCAAAACTATCAATTATAAAGTAATAATATCAGTATTGAAAAAAGTCAGTCAAAGCATAGTGTAAATATTAACTACTGGGAGTTACCAGATGAAACGTTTTGAAAAAACTCTTTGTTCGTACTTAATTTCAGTACATATGAAACTTGACAGACTAAAAGAACAATAGTTACTATTAGAAACGTCAAGAGTTATATCAGTTTTACATTGTATGTCTTCGTAGAACTCAAGTAATAGACTGTTTCTCAAAACTGACTGATTAATTGATATATAAAGTGCATCGATTTTTCGTTGGTTAAGTGAAAAATTTCAGACAACTGATCCGATTGAAAAAACCCGACCGACTCTGTGCATGGTTCTTTTATTACAATCGATATACGATCTTTGATCGTATATCAACAACGTCTGTGATGGAAAGTTCAAATTTTTACCCCTATATTTTAGTATTCTTTTTAGAACATGTTTTACAAAACACTAAATTTGTAATTTTTCTTACTTGATCAAGACCAATTTCTTCTCCATAAAGTATAATTGGTGTTCCACCAAGTAACATGATCATAGTCAAAACGATTTCTCTTGGTAATTGATTATCATGAATAAGACCAATATCATCACTTTTTCGTTTCGATCCCAACTAAAAACTTTATTCTTCCAAACAAAAACAAACAAGAAAATCTCTAACCTGCCAAAATTGTGGTTTTGATACAGGAATTGTTTCAAATGATTGTATTCTTTGATCTAATGATGGAGCATTAATTGGAGATCTTCGTTGATTATCAAATAAAAATAATGCATGTGCTGTTTTATTATGTAAATCATCATTTTTAATTATATCTTGTAAACCAAATGGAATATCAAATAAAAGTAACCTTTAAATATTAATTCTTAAGAAAATTTTTTTCTTTAAAATAAAAATTAACTTACTTCGGTTTTGTATTCTTTTCGATTTCATTTTTAACGTTAGTCCATAGATTAATTGTTTCATAAGATATTTCATATAAACTTGTAGTACTATTGAAACGAAGTGGAAGATCAACTCGAACACCGTCGACTTTGTTTACTGATAACCAATGACGAAGACAAGTCTAAAAAAATATTTATTTCATAAACAAAAGTATTTTTTGTATTAATAAGATCAATACTTCTGATTTCTTTTCAATATTTTCATCAGTAAAATCAAGTGGTAATCGACCATATAATTTATAATAACGACAATCAAGAGTTGGAAAATTTTTAGTACATGTAACCTAAATAGTTATATTTATGTATTTTTGTAATTTGAAAATATTTAACTACATTTATTTTAGAAGGAAGTGGTGAATCAGAACCATACCATAAATAACCATTGGGATCGAATGTTGATGATAATGGTAAATCAATAATTAAACGCATATCTAATTGAAAAAAATAAATAAGGTATCGACGATTGGGAATTTGAACAACTTTTTTTTTGTTATGATCACAGAATTACATATAAAAATTCTGTTTTTGACACATTCAGACAATGTTCTTATAGTAAAACTTAGGAGCATCAGATTAAAAACAATCAGAAAAGTCTAGAAGAATTGAAACACATCAAGTTTCAAGAGTTTTTATATTTATCCGAACTTTTATTTTGATTGTTGAGAAAGTCAATTTTGTTTTGGTTATGATATCAAAAACACCATAAACATGATCTTTGTATCCTAAGGTGTTGACTATCAGGAATATAATGACAAAAAAATTAATATGGTTTTCAGAATCAGCACAAAAAATCTGCATCGTATAGTATATTCAATACTAACTGTCGTCAAATTTCGACTTCAGAGGGGAAGCATCGATCAGAGTACTTGAAAATAAGTGAAAGGAAATGAGGTAAAATTTGATGGTTCTAAAATAACTGAAACCGAGAATTGAACAGAAGTCGTTAAATCATAAAATCTTCAATTTTTAATTTCTAAGATTACAGAGTTCTGTATATATGTATAATATTGTTTTGCTTAAATAATGAAATTCGTAGTGTCTTGAATGTGAACAATTCAATAGTGAAAATTTCTCAAAGTAGATTTAAAATTTGCTTATCTATCTGATGATTTAACGGTTTCAGTTCTGCGTGATATTTTGAGAACCGAACCAGAATCACCGTACTTTAGTTTGAGGACTGAAATCAGATGAAAATTAGTTTTGATTATTGAGTATAGAATTTTATGCTGATTCTGAATTTGATATTCATTTCTTTTGGAATTGAATTTCTGATGATCGGAATCTTAGAATAGAAACATCGTATTCATGATGTTTTGATATCATATCGAGAAAAAAAATCGAACTTCTCCACAATCAAAACAAAAATTCGGATAAATATAGAGACTTGATGCTTATGATGTATTTCGACTTTTCTGATTTTCTTTTAATCTAATGTTCCTAAATTTTACTACAAAAACATTGTCTGAATGCGTTAAAAACAACATTTTTATACATAATTCGGTGATCATGACAAAAAAAACATTGCTCGAATTTTAAATCGCTAGCACCCTAAATAATGAAAAAGAATCAAATATTCAATTTACCTTTTCGATAAAGAGTTCTTGATAACTCTTTTAAATCATTATCACTTCCAACTGACGGATCAATGCTATATAAATTAACATTTTTAGTACGAACGTTTCGTCCACTTGATTGAATTGATGTTCCAGTTGTTACATTGAATATTGATGATTGAAGAAGAAGCGATTTTATATTATTTTTTTCCAAATAACTTAATTTTTCTTGAACACCTATATGACACAATAAAATTAATGCTATTTTCTGTTTTACAAAAGATAAAAACCTTTAATATCTCCAATTCCATCTTGATTAGAATCACGAAACGTCGTAACATCAATTTCATAAATAATTTCTTTTTGATACCAAGCAAGTTTTGGTTTTGGTGGACAACGGGGAGAAAATACCACCAAAAGAATAGATCCAATAAGAAGTAATACAAGTAATAAAATATATAAAATAGCAATTAAGTAACGAATACGTTTCCATTTTGGATTGTTTATATATGCTTGTAATTCCTTCAAAACAAAAAAATAACAAATTGTATTAGTTAAATAAATAAATAACTTTCTTTTAAAAGTACCTCTTTAGTTAATGCAACAAATTCATTATTATCTTTTGGTTTTTTATAGTTGTCGAAATCCTCCACTACAATATTTTCATCAAGTTTACTACTCTCTCCATCATGATTAAATTTAGCAACATGACCAACTTTTGTTTGAACATCAGTTCCATCACGTAATAATGCTTGACGAACATCGACTGGTACCTGACCTTCGTTACTTGTTTGAATATCTTCACTCATATTGTTCTGTATGTCTTTCCAATACGTGTCCTTCAATCGGATAGTATAAGATATAAAAAGAAAAAAAAAAGAGAAGTTGCCCTTTAGATCAACAAGAGATTAAAATCAACGAATCATTCTCATTGTTATATGTAACACTAGACATCAGCGACATCATTCGTTCGTCTCTTAAGTTTGCAGCAAGATGCAATGAATTTAATCCAAAAGAGTTAGTCAACCAGTTATTTTTACGGGTTTCTTAGTAAACTATTTATGTAATAGCAAAATAAACTGAATAGATGAAAATATTATTGAAAAATGTTTGGTTGATTTGAACGAATTTTATATTAATTTCAGTTCAGTTAAGTGCCTTATCTGATGCAAACGTTGGCTACCATGATACGCCATTTTCTCCGGTCCTGTGCTGCGTGAAGAAAATCTATTTTCTCATATCCTTGTTTTTCAATCCATAGATTCATGCTTTTGAGGTACTTCATTCTTTGTCTTCCCTTGTCTTTCTTCCCATAGATCTTACCACTCAATACTTGGTGTTTCAAGCAACCTTTTCGGATTACATGACCGATGAATTTTAATTGCCTGTACCAGATGATATTCAACAAGCATCTTTTCCATTTCATTCTTTTCATTATCGAGTCATTGCTTTCTCTAGCTGTCCAAGATACACCCAGCATCTTTCTTAGGAACCACATCTCTGTAGCTTCTAAACGTTTTCCCATTTTCTTGTTGATTGCCCAAAATTCAGATCCATAAAGTAGAACCGACCACGCATAACATTTGAGAACCCTTGTTTTAGTGTTGATAGATATGGTTCTGTTTTTCACAACTGGGCTCATTTTTTCGAATGCTTGTTTGGACAGAGAAATTCTCTTTTTGATCTCTTCATCCCATCGTCCATCTGATGTTATGGTGGAGTCCAGAAAGTTCAAGCGTACAACTTGTTCGATTGACTCTCCATTTATATTCACGTTGCATGTTGGTGGGCTTTTATTCTTTGAAATACTCATGCATTCTAATTTATTAACATTTAGTGACAGTCCCATCTTTATGCTTTCTCTTGAAACCACATCAATCATTCTCTGGAGGTCTTCTTTAGTATTGGCAATTATTACGGTGTCATCTGCATATCTGAGGTTATTACAGTTATAGCCTCCAATTTTCACTCCTTCTAAATCTTCTAGATTTCTGAGTATCATTTCACTATAGATGTTGAAAAGGTCTGGGGATAGAACACATCCTTGTCTGACACCCCTCGTGATATTTATGTATTCACTGGTATCATTGTTCACTTTCATGGCGACTTTTTGATTCCAATAAAGATTTCGTACTAATCGTAGATCTTTCCCATCAATATCGAGTTTTTCTAGAATTTGAAATAGATTGTCGTGTTTGACTTTGTCAAACGCTTTTGTGTAGTCGAGGAAGCAGATATATACATCGTGTTTGACTTCTATGGTTCTTTCAATTAGCATCCGAAGGATGAAAATTGAATTTCTGGTGCCCTTATCTGTTGTGAATCCATACTGCTCCTTTGCTATTTCTGGTCTGATCTTGTTTTTCATTCGCATCATAAGAATCTTGAGTAGAATCTTTGTCACATGACTCATGAGACTGATTGTGCGATGAGGTTCACATTCAGTGACTCCAGACTTTTTTGGAAGAGCTATGAATATTGATTTGGTTAAGTCTTCTGGGATTTCATCGGTATCATATATTTTGTTTATTAACTTTGTGATGGTATCCAGACCTAATTAGTTCATCGAGACTTTGAATCATTTCAACAGAGATTCCATCAGGGCCAGTTGCCTTGTTACTTTTCATTGATTTTATGACTTGCCTCACTTCGTCTTTCATAATTGAAGGCCCTTCCATAGTTTTGTTGATGTTAGGTTTAGACATCCTATTATCATCAAAAAAGTTCTTCTATGTACTCCGACCACTTGTTCAATATTTCACTTTTTTCCATGAGAATGGTCCCACCTTTTGATTTGATACAGCCTGAGCTGGTGCATCTTGATTTTCCTGTAACTTCATTGATTTTTTTTATGAGCGTACTTGGTGTTCACATTCAATTTATTCTCAATCTCTAAACATTGCTCATTCAGCCATTTCTCTTTTGCCTCTGAGCGCTTCTTCTTGATTTCTTTGTTTATCGAGTTGTATTCAAGTAGATTTGACTTCTTGAGTCGTCTTTGTTCCATTAATTTTAGGATGTCATCAGTCATCCATTTCCTCTTTTTGTTCATTTGAGCTTTGGGAAGTACTTCTTCAGCAGATGCCGTGATCGAGGATTTTAGCTGCTCCCATAATATCTCAGTCTCTGTAATTTCGCTCAATGCTTCCAACCGGTTTTGTACCTTAATTCGGAATTTTTCTTTAAGGTCTGGGTCAGTTTTGAGAAGGTGGACTTGAAGCTTTGGATTTTTCTTTGGCTTTCTTAATCTTTTTAGTTTACTCGAAACTCACTGATAACTGTAGCATGGTCACTCCCACAGTCGGCTCCAGGAAATGCTTTGGAGGAGATGACAGAGTTCCTGAAGTGACGAGGGACCATAATGTAGTCTATTTGATTTCTAGCTCGGGCTCCGGGGCTTCGCCATGTTTATAGTCTAAGTGGGTGATTCTTGAACCATGTGTTCGTGATGACAAGATTGTGATTGGCACCAGGCTACCAAATTATTTCCTCTATCGTTCTTGTTTCCTAGACCAAAAGGTCCTACAATATTGCCAATTCGTTCGTTTCCCACTTTTACGTTGAAGTCTTCCATTACGCAGATGGTGTCATGTGAGTTGCATTGTTTGTAGGCTTTGTCTAGTTCTTCGTAGAAATTTGTGACTGCATCTTCGTCATAGTCAGCTGTCGGTGCATAACCTTGAATGAGAGAGATATTGAAAGGTTTGCCACGCAGCTTTACAAGTAGAACTCTGTCTGAAACCGCCCAGAAGCCTTTTACACTCTGGGAGGCTTCTTTGTTAAGGAGTATGCCTACTCCTCTCTCGTGTTGATCTCTTCCAGAGTAGAATATAGTAAAGTTATCTGTTGTAAAAGATCCGGCCCCTTCCATCTGACCTCAGATAGACCTAGCACATTGAGCTTCAGTTTTTTCATTTCTTTCTTCACATTTTCCAGTTTTCCCTTTTGGAACATAGTCCTCACATTCCAGGTTCCTATTCTGAGCGAGTTCTTGGTATGGATAGTAGCCTGATGACAGTCGAGGGTCACCTGTCCTTCATGATCATCCCTACCGAGCGAGGTGATTTCTCTGAGAACCCGCTTCACGCTGTTATTTCGACTGGAAATTTTGACGTTAATCATGATGTGCTTGGGAGTGTACAACAGTGGTTTCTCCTTGCCTTCCGCCGGATTGAAATGGTTTACTCCATTTGGTGAACTACCAGTCAAGGCTAAAGAGCTTCACCTACCCTGGCTAAAGCTTATGAAACTTGGTTCGGGTGAACCTTGCTTCTGGCGCCTATACTCGCCTTGTCATCTTGTCGTCTTTGGGTTTTTGTAGCATTTTATAGGCGTTTTGGTGCCATCCAAAACTCCACCACATCCTGTTAGCAAGATGGCTGAATTGTCCGGGACTGCTTATTTGAACAATTACTTGTTCTTATTCGTAGCTAACCATCGTACTAATGGTCGTTCCACTATTCGCAACCTGTGGACCCGCTTGGTAGCATTCAGCTTTACCCCAAGATGTGCAATATACAACTTTGAAATATGTCTTGAATGGATTCATAAAACTTCGTCAACATTACATTTGATTTCATGTATTAAAAGTGTTTCTGACACAATTAATCTTTCGATGTATTAATATTAAACTGATTAAGTTTTTGACACGTCGTGATAATTAACAACTCAGAAGAGTTTTTAAAATAAAATTTAAAGCGCAGTTCGAAACGAAATAAAAATAAATTACACTTTAGGCTCTTAAAGTTGTTCATAGAATAATTCCAAAATTGAAGTATGAACACAGAATATATATATATATCGCCTAAGCAAAAAGATTTGTTCGAAATCTTAATTGCTTTTCTTCAGATTGATTGATCAATAAGATTGAATTGAACCAAAGTGATCGGAACTTTCGAAAAAATTGTAATAACATTCGATAAAAAAGAAGTTTGACTCTTGATCATTATTTAATTCTTTTCTTAAAAGGGTGGGTGTGGGTGTTATTCCCTCTTTTAACCACACCCACACCCACACCCACACCCACACCCACGCCCACACCCACACCCACACCCACACCCACACCCACGCCCACACCCACACCCACACCCACACCCACACCCACACCCATTCAACAAAGTTCTATGATGAAATCTACTATTACATAGGATATTCAAGCTTAATATGAAATTTCTCTCTGACAAATTCTCAATAATTTACATTTAGTTTAACAGCAAAAGAAATTTGATAAAAACAATCTGTCAGATAATTTTCACGAAATATCAATCATAATTAAGATGAAACTATTTTTCTTGTTTCATTACAGCACATATCAAAATCGAATACTGAAAGTTTATTATTGACATGTGAAAAGAGATTGTGTTAATATTATATTTCAGTTTTTCTCATTCACTAATCAAACTCTTTCATACATATTTGTCGGTATCATATTACTAGATATTTGTTTAAGAATTTTCAGTTTTGAGACGAAAAAAGAAAATCATCAGTTTTTTATAATGAGTGAAAGACAAAATAATGCTTCAGAACTTTATTTTATATAATAAGATACCAATGAATGAATAAATTGTAAATGAATTATAATAAAAATAAATAAAACAAAAAGAACAATAAAACATCGTCGAAACCAAATATTGATTGATTTAATTTCTTTTTCAGATTTATCGATTAACAAATCCTAAAAAGTAAACATTACAAATATTTCCTGGTCTTTGTTTTAAAATAAATAGAGAAAACATTACACATTGATAAATTGGAGAATGAAAGAGAAATCGTTCGAATTGTCGAATATAATACATATTCTTTTTTCTTTCTTCTTCTTCTTCTTTTGTTTTATCCATGCGAAATATCTCACACTTGCCTTTGTCTGCAACTCTATATGTTGCCATTGAGGTTATTGACGACTTAACTACTTCGTATACATGCAAATGTTGGTAAATAAAAAAAAAAAAAGAAAAAGAACAAGGCGATTATATACAGAAATATGTATGAATATCAATATATTTCTTATCGATTGTGCAACACATTCTTTTTTTTCTTATGAAAACTTAAAAGTTCAATCTACTCCTAGATTTTTTATTGTTATGATCATTAAAATTTAATTTAACATTCTATCTATTTTTTGAAAAATATTTTCTTATTTATATCAATTGTAAAAACCAGAAGATGTATGAGTGAATCTTCAAATATCATGCAAAAAAAACCTAAACAGAGAAAAATAAGAACCACTATACATACAACATGTTTGAGTATCATGTACGGTAATTTGCTATCGGGGCACTAGATCGTGACAAATAATCAGTATTGAGGAAGGGTGAAGTTGAACACAGTAAGATTTTTGTCGGCAAGTGAGTTTTTGCAGCTGATACTAGGTATTGAATACCACGGGTATGTGAAATGAGAGTGGTTGCTCTCCGAGTTCGAGAGAAACTTAAGCTTACTATTTTATGGTGAGTTCCGCAAACTGTTATTCACGTTGATAGTGATGATATTGTATCTGAAAGGTGAATAGCAAGTGCGAATGAATTATGTGCGGATTAGATATCATAGAGTAAAGTGTTGCTTACAAAAAAGAAATAAACAATGAAAAGCAATTAAATAGATGAGTTCTTGTTTCTCAAATAGTAAAATAATCAAAATTGCCTTTGTCTTAAAGTGATACTGCATATGATATATGGTGTCATACCAGTAAAAAAAAGGTCGTCAGTATCAATGGTAATGCTTCTCGAAGTTTCATGAAATTAGCTGTTTTCAGACAGGTGACACCATATCTTCAATCATTATTTCCCGCACAATTCTTGCACATGAATAAGCTGAGCAGATCATATTGCTCTTTTACAGCTTTCAGTCGATCATACATGACATGTGAACCAAAAAACCTGTGTTGCCAACACGGTTCATTTGAATCCTTTTCGTTCGTATAACAACCTGAATATTTTTTGAAAGTGTATGTAGCATTTAAGCTTGACAAGTGACCTCAACAGTAACTGCTTGTTGACATCCTATAGATGCATCATCCGACCAACTTTGAGCATAGTACACATGAGGAAGAGCAGTGTACCATGCCAAGTTCACGCTATTATTTGATTTGGATAGGATAAATATTTGTCCACCAGCTTTTAGACTTAACATTAGTTACGCTGCATTTATACTTTAACCTTTCATTGGAGCAAATGCTTGAGCGACAGCGTCTAGCTGATTTCGAACGATTGTTTCAGCGTTAAAACGAGAGCTAAGCAGACCGCCATAGCCTGTTGAGTCCATGTTCTGAAGGATATCCACAGAAAACTGATAGAGTGACGATAAGGAACCAATAACACGCTCCGTAAATAATGGATCTACGTTATTATTCATAATTTGAGTAAAAGTCGTATAAGCAGCATTCAAGCTTCCATTGAACCAACAAAATGTTATGGACATGTTTGGATCCACCATGCTCAAATAGCCAGACCATCCGACATCAATCAAGCTGAGTAACATTCGAAAAAAATTTCGAACTATTGAGCAAAGCGAATGTCATTTGTTGCTTTGGTCTTCTGAATATTACGAATAATATATGTCAATGGAAATGTTCGTAAGACAACACAACGGGATAAGTACCAGCACATCTATCACTTAATGTCCAGAATAAGTCGCCATCTTTACATGGGCTTATCGTGCGAGATTTTTTATCCGCAGTGATATGTTCATATTGGAGTACTCGATCAGTAGATGTAACTTTATATTGTGACAAAGGATTATGACCACTTTCTTGGATGAATCCATCAGCAATAACCATCAATTTGCTTGTTTCACCAAGACCTATTAAGTTGTATATATTCAACCATATGAACACATCTTTTCATGTATTACCAGTACAGATACAAACAACATTCGATACAGCCGTAGCACCACACGATGAACATTATGGAATTAGCGTTATTTTTTCAACTAATGAAGTCACAAGAACAGGGATCCGAATGCTGCTGATCGAGCAAACACCTTATATCCTGATGTTTTTATTACTAATAGGAAATTGTTTGTCAATGGAAATTGTATGGTTGTTTGAACGTGTTCTGGAGATGTTGCATTAACAGCAAAGATGGATTTTGATTCTCGAGTGCAAATAGAACTTATATTCCACATTGAACATGAAGCATTTTCCAATTGCAATATTGTATTGCATAGGGCCAATTTGATCACTGCACCATGGTGAATCGTTCCTTCCCCCCCCCCTCTGCTCCTAATGACAAAATGTTTTATTACACTTTGACAGATCAAATTTATTGGCAGTACATGAAGAAGCTTATGAACGTGGTATGAGAAGACGACCGTTAACTAAAGAATTGGATCAACGAGTTAAATCATTCGAGAGGCAACAACAAATCAAGTCATGAATAAAAGAATTTTAATAGATCTACCAGTCAAAGCCAAATGGTGACCACGAATCAGTGCAATGAAGAAAAAGGCAACGTACGATGCACGATTCGACGTCATGGCCGAGGCTTTTCTGAACGTGCTTTTGTGAGATTATATTTTATGCTATATACTAAAGAGAAATAAAGACAATACTCGCTTTATTATTATTTTTCAAATAACATCTTTCATTCGATTTGTGTCGCTTGAGAAATATATAGGTAAGAGTACATGTCTATTTTTTCATAATTACCGTCTCAATACATGGGCTTACACAAACACTATCAACACGACCAAAACTACTTATGTTGTATGATCTTTTCATATTCGTTATTTTACATACGCAATCATTCATCGATTAAGAGCTCATTTTTGGAAGTATATTTAAAGTTGACGCTATGAGAGTAAATAATAGGTTCCTTATACGGACAAACTGTTTCTGACAGTGTCAATAATAAAGCAATGAAAATAAACATTGCTTCGACGACTACTAATTCGGTTGATGTGTTGATCGTAAATAATCGATGAACGAGAAAATGTGATGGTCACTGTAAATATGTATGTTTGTTTGAACGTGAGTTCAGTTATTTATTTGTTCAATGTCACTAACCGGAATATATTTAGAAGAGAAGAGTGCAAGAAGAACAACGTAACGAGAGAACCAGACAGTCAAACAGAACATATATATCTACATATATATATGTGAATAACATGTAAGGAAGGAAAAAATCTATACATAACGTACATGAACAGAATGGAAAAATACTACTGTTGTATGTCCTATCACTTGTAGGTAAATATCCAATATGTATATTGGAAAATACGAACAGTCACCTCATGTATATGACAATGACAGACGCACACATTATGCGATGATGATTTAGTGGTATCTTTTCATCTCGTCCGCACTTTGCCCCATTTTCGACTGACCCGACTATGAATGTGTTCTAGTTTGTTCGTAATAGACAATCGTGAGTGAAAAAAGAAGACTTTGACTACATATTCTTCTACGATAATCAGCCATCAATCATCTGAATCAACAACCTCCTACCTATTGGTTTTTAGAATCGAATGTGTTTTTATTCAAGCAAACTTGCGCATTTGATCAAATGCTTCATCAAGAAGTGTTTTTCGAATAGAAATGCTTTCACGACTATGAGCTGGCTGGTGCGGATGCGGACGTGTAGACAGAGTCTTGTCTTCTCTTCAGCCACTTTCACACATCCAGTTCAAACTCCACACTCTTACAAGTTCATTTCACACTTCCACGTATACCGTACTACCCAACATTTTGGTATTACAGGACCAAACTGTTAATGACGCGCCTATTGACACATTATGAATGTGAATGTGTGAGTTGGGCGCATTTATCAGTGTCGCTCTTCTTTTCATCCACACTCACATATATAGAAAATCAAAAGGACATTCAATTCAGACTGTTTCATATATTGATTCCGAATCAAATCAAAATATCGTCAAAACCTATCACGATTGAGCATCTCAAAGTATCTTATGTGAGACTTGTAATACGATGCATGCACCTCTTAGTTATCAGCTTGTGGCTCACAAGCCGATCGCAAAAACATAAATGACGCATATCCATACAGGATAATTGTACAAGCGTGATGTTCTGTAAAAATGGGCGTAGCTTTGTTGAAACGCTCTTCAGCAAGTATGAGGTCGAGTAGAGATTTTTCAATCTTCTTCTATCGTCTCAATGACCAAAACTATTTAATTGGGAAAATATTCTTATGAAAATGTTCGTTGGTTATTGAGGAATTCAGTTTTTAGAGAAAATGCTTGGGGACAACTGTTTGTACATCGTGTCTCTTAGAAATATCGTGAGATATAACAAGGTTTAAGAGATAAACCTGCAGATGAAGAGAATTAATCAACGAAAGGTTATCTTTATTGTATTACTCGTTACAATATCTCTCGAAAGCGTAACTCATGAAATTCAATGCCTCAATAACATTGTTCTCAATTAAGAAGGAATAAGTGTGCAGTTCAGTTTTTATGCACTCACTTCATGACGATCGAGATTTGAATTTTCGGCATTGGATTTCATAAAATATATCCTGAAAAAGTCATAGCACGTATTAAAAAATATTCTCAGAAATAAAATCATTGCTCATCCATTGTGATCTCGAAAGTTAGTCGATCGGATCTCAAATGAGATGACAATTGAACAAGAAAAATAAAATAAAAACAAACACATAATGATAATAATACAGAATAATAAAAGAAAGAATGTCACAACAGTGAATGAAGATGGATATCTTTTTCCAACAGTATGACAAGTGCATCATTATTCAATAGAATGGCATCCCAAGGTTTCGAACTTCTGATTTCTTCTGCAATGCGTATTTCGTTTTCAGAAATTTGTAATATTGCTGAGTTGTTCGGATTAATCACTACCCATTGATTACTATTTAGGGAGCAGCATCGAATTCTGAGACAATTTGATATTGAACCAAGTTGAATTATTCGAAATCGTTCAAGTGTTGTGAATGAACATAGATCGAAATGTATTTGACTCTGAGTATTGACAATCATTAGAGCCAATGCTTGATGATTCGATGCCAAACTTTTGATGGATTCGTTTTCTTTACAAGACACAGGTGGTTGATATTGATTTATGCATTGAATCGAAGGTTTAAGACTATATTTAAAAACTGATGAAGCAAAATTCCATGTCGATAAGAATAATGTGTCTTCAAAGCATGTTCCACAATACCAAAAGTCAGTATTAGTACTACTACGAGTAATTTGACATTGTTGGATAACCAGTGTTTTGTCATCAAAAGTAAATATCTCTTCTGGAGTAATCAAAAAAAATCGAGCGAGTGTGGAAGACCAACATATATCATTCAGACGGCCATGATTCCATATAATATCGTTTTGAATATTCAGTTGTTGATCAAATAGACGTAGTTTACTCTGTTCTCCTACTAAAATATAATTGTCGTTCGCTGCGATAGAGTAGTAAGTATTTTCTCCTTGGAATAGTCGATGTGAAGCTGGTAAAGGTAACATAATGTTTACTCTTGATGTTCGTTTTTTGATAGTGATGCAATAACCATCAATGGTCAATGGTGGTAGAGTAAATTCGTTGAGACATAATTCATTCGTTTGCTGTTTAGTAAATCGAATATTAGCATCGATTGTATTGATTTGTTCTAAAGTCATGTTTTGTTCGCGAATCAATTGATTTACTTGATCTTGTAGTCGATTAAGTTCTATTATCTGTTTCATTCGTTCTTTAGAGATGTGTTCTTCAAATACATATTTCGATCTTTCATAAAACTGATAAATTTCGCAATGCGCTTCTGCATGGTACTTCTCACCTTCGATAATACATACGGACTGAAGCATAGAAACGTCATTTATTTGATACCAAAGCTCTTTGATTTCGTTGATGAATTGAGTGATTTTATCGTGAAAAAAATCCAATTCTTTGTTGTCATCATCCATGTTGTGATTCTGTTAGCAAAAGTGAGAGAAAATATATAATATAACATTTCACGAATTGACATTACCTATTCATGATCAAACGATGTATTTCGAATAAAGCTATGATGGACAAATCCTATGTAAACAACAAGACTGAATTTTGTTTACGAAAGAATGATGAATCATCCTCTTTACGATTATTTCAACACAAATGCAATGCAAACATATTGTCAAAGGAGAAAATACCCATAAAGTCATACACGATGAAACATTCGAACGTCAGAAAATTATGGCGATAATGTAGGAAACCTCATGATCGATGACGTCATAGTCTGGCTTGTGCATGCATGAGTGAGTCTATCTATTTGATTTAACCCTAGTTTTGTTCCTTTTTGTGAAAATATCCAACATAATCATTTACAGCGTCGAAAAATAAGCACATGATCGTATTGTCAGTAAATATTCAGATGAGAAGTGGCGGATTCACAGTCATCTATAGAATTATATTCAATTTTTTCTTTAAAAGCTTTTACTTAAACTCTTACAGATGCCAAACACTTACGATTCTAAAGTTGTTTGTGATTCACAGTCAGCTTTAGAAAGGCATGTCCTTTCAATATCTTGTCGAAAGAAATTCCTTTTGACTACATAGTTATCGATTTAGTATTCAACTTATATATTACGGTCGTCTGAGCTATTCTTCTTTGAAGTAAGTAATTTAGGTTGACATATTAGTGAATTTTAGTCAGGTAAAATTTTATTCGAAACATTTATTGGATTCAGATTCAATAAGATGTGAACTGTACGTCTTTCTAGAGATTCAAACATGTTCAGTTTGAAAGAACTAGATAGACACAATTAATCAGCTATTTCGAATTGGTTACTGTTTGAGTTCTAGTAATTAACTATTTAATTATTTATCATAAAGGTAATCATTCATGAGTCACTACTAATAGTGTTCGCGCTGATCGATGATTGAGTGATGAATAATTATTAATCAATCCGTTAATTAGTCGATTAATAATAAATCACTTAATTAATTAGTAATAAAGCCAGTTCAGGCTTCTAGAAGTCGAATCCGATATGGAATCACTACAGTCATATTTATGATTCTCTTTTTGATCGCCTTCTGATATGTGATCTAGTAGTTCTTTGATTTATGTTCTCTTGGGTCTTTAGATCGATGTTCTGACTTTGTATGTCACAAATGGGACAATAGTTTCTATTATTATCGCTATTTACATCTTAATAGTTCAAAAGTAACATTCGTCTTAGGCAATTATTGATTTTCTACGATAAACATTGTTTGCAGCAAAATAAAAATACAAATAAACTATTCACCGTGAGCAGTTTTTGGTTACATTAAAGGAAAACAACTCCTAACTCAAAAATAAAGAATATAGAATCGATTATTTGAAATCAATAGCATGGATGGCGTATCAAAAGCAAGGATCACATTCGGAAATAATCCTTTTTCTTCCAAAACTTTAAAAACACTCTTAACATAGGAAGAAAAGATGAATGAGTATCGAGTCATTATTTAATTAAGTCGAAGTCAATGGAAAAAATATACTTTTTTGTCATATCGAGTAGAGGCTAGTAGCAGATGTGAGAGCATAAAGTGATAGAATTACAAACTAATTCCATTGCCATCTAGTTAGCACAAGATCTTATTTGGACTCTATGGATTCTACAGATTCGCAATGAGCAAATGGAGGAATCTAAGTTGCGCGACGTGCTCGAGTCAGTCATAGTAGTGGGAAGTTATTGTTACTTAACTAGGTAACTGAAGTCAGCTACTAGATTAAGTAACTGTTCATGACTAGTCAATGTATCTAGTCTGTCACTAGTTTATGACATCCTCAGCCTATTGATGCTTTTATGTGGATATGACGTGGATATCAGTAGATCTCAAACAATCAGAATATGTGAAGAACGAATCATCATCAAATTCTATTATTTTTTTGAATCAATTGGTAATTCAAAAGGGCTATTCAATGCAAGATGCTTCTAAAACGAGATGATGCGCCGCAAATATTCTATGTTTGCAGTACAATTCTGTAATGGCTTATCTAAAGCTATTAAACGCATTAGTTCTCATTGCAGTTCTACGAATATTTCTTTCTATATATATACAAGTATTGTATATGAAACTATCATAATTACATTAACGTCGTAGTATATCTAAAATGATCATTTATTTTAAGCATAAAATGGAGTTTAGGGAAACAGAGACACTAATGAATTCTCAATAATATTTCTCTAGTTTTCTTTCATCAATATGAGACCGAGAAAGCTTTGTAGTTGAAACGCGCACATTTTTTGAAAATACGATTCGAACAATACTCTTAATGTCCATCAAATTAGAACCGAACTGGAATTCATTTACAACCGTAGATTGTTGTAGCAAGGCGAGAAAATGATCATTACCTATCTGTGTGCTCGATCGATGCACCAACTTATTCATAGAGTAATGAGCAAACAATCAGTCTCAATGAGATCTTGATTGAACAAAGAGTTTTTGTCTGATTGAAAGAGACACAAGGCTGAATATTCAATAGACTCGTCTGTTTAAACACGAGGATTTCCTTTATATATATATAATGCTGCCTCATTATTACAGTACTGGAGCAATCATGTTCTCATACTGTCTCGTTCGAAAAAATCTAAACATTTAGGTCTTGTCTAAGTGCAGTTCATACAGAATGGCCAAAGTTTTTGTGAAGATATAGGAAACCTTTCACGACTTGAGCATTTTCAAAAATAGCATCCTTAATACTATACTTCGACATCTATTTCACGACACTACGAAAAGTCATTCCTCGAAGAGGAAATGCAATGGTTAACAGTATATTCTTCCGATGATAAAGTACGACCTTAATAGAGTTTTCATCGACGTTTTTCTTATGAAAATGAACTACAAAAATTCCTCTACGTTAAATAAGAACAAAGTAAAGACATTGCGGAGATAATCAAGTTTTTGTTTATTTGTTGACTTTTTATATGCTCTTAATTAAATGAATGACTTATAGTGACTGAATGAGTTTTAAAAAATCGAATAAAAGATCCCTTGAAAATTCAGAAATTTGAAGTCCGACAGACTTTAATAATATTGTATGATAAACCATAAAACTATGTTGTGTGTCTATCACGAAGTGTAGAAGTAAAGAACGTCCAACTTTGTTGTTGCATGTGTCAGCACTCATAATTAGTTGTATTTCAGAACAAAAAAGAAAATATAAATTTACATGTTCATAATTAGTTTGTTCCATATTAATATCGTGAAATCAAACATTGATACAGTAATTGATATTTTAACCGTTGAACAAGTTCATCTTCTTTTAAGAACCTTAATCTTCGATATTTTTTTTAGTCATCAAATTTCTATCTAAAAATTAACATTCAGAGATCGACTATCGGATTTAGAAAATCAAGCACAACTGTTTGTGTTCTAAAATTAATTTGAAGACTTTCACATTGTTGAAAAGTATTGATTTACATAATACGGTACATTGTCATACATTGAAGTAGATATCAGAGTATACGTTCGGACATCGAATCGATTTATTATTCATACCCAATAATAGGAGACTATTGTAATGAAATATGATCAACTAAAGTCGACTCGTATAAGAAAGTAATATTTGGAAATTGGATTAATGTTGACATTTGAATCTCCGAATTTGAAGTATATTGAATTGGTCTATTATTAGACAAGCGGTCTGAATGTATTCTAACAATTGAATTTTCATTCTCAGATGAAGAACGTCAGGAAACAACGAATAGAAAAGCAATACACATTTTCTATCGAAAAGACTTCATAGTCTGCAGGTGATCATATAACCAATAGTCTGTTTGATAAGAACAAGTTGATTTTGAATTAATTAATCCATCGTGAAAAACAAGTATCAAAAACGTGTACTAGTAAATCATGTATCGTCTCAAAACACTGTATGTACTCCAAAATATTTGAATTTTAATCATACCGAAAATAACGACGGTATTCATCAATTGAAAACGACGTTTGAAATGAATTGATTAATTTATCAATGCACTTCGCTGTATTATCCTTAATACGCAAGAAAAGAAAAACATTTGAATATGAAATTTTGTCAAAATCGTTTAGGCGCCTCTGTTAATTTGCTTACTTCACCTTGTATTTTGTTTTTCTTTTTTTCTTATTTTCCTCTTATCTTTCTATCATCTCATTTCTTTGTTCGAGCTTGTTTTTACGGCTTGCAAATGCTTTTCAAACATAGAAGAAAAAGGGCAACGGACCACTATTCTAATTTTCGCCATTTCACTAGATATCTTTTTTATGCCTACTGTGTACGCTCATGTTCATGCACAAGCTGACGACTGTATAACATACAAATCGTACATTTGTAATAGAAAATTTGCAACACTATTATTCAATATGAACAACGAAGAGAAGAAAAAGATGAGAATATGGACAATGCGAGCTTGAAAAATAATCAATGTACATACAATAAAAATGTAGCAATTGTTTGGTCTGTCCATTGCTTTGGTTGATTTTCGTCGACAGATGAATGTAGAGATAGACTGGTCAAGTGAGATGGCTGTCTTACAAACAGTCGACAAATGAAAAGAAGAAAGAAGTAATGGTTATATATCATTTAGCTGCTCTATATCAATTCAAAACAATATTGTATCCTCAATCTTAGAGTTAGGATGTATGCATATGAACAGTCTATCAATTACTTCACTTTCCTTTTTGTCTTCGAAAAACAGTGAGCTTCATCAGACACAACATATTTGTGTTTGAAACTACTGAAGCAACTCAATTTCAATAATTCATTACTGTTGAATGCAATTAATCTCATTCTCCTTTGACTTCATCGCAATAAGAAATTGCTTTATCAGCTGAATAGCGTAAATCCATAATAAAATAAATTCGTTCGTACTCAACCAAGCTGCTACAGAAACATATCTTCGTTTCATAGAGGCGTTATTATTTTCTTATGTGGAAAACGAAAGTACATTCCCATAGTGTTTTTCCAACAGTATAAATCAAAACGACCTTCGAATTACTATTCTTGCACTGTTTGGATCAGAAGCAAGAATAATTTTCTCGATCAATTAGATATCCAGAGAATGAGAGTGCATTTGTGCCAGCTGTCTGTATTCTCAGAACCGGATAGCGTTGATTGACGTTTTCACACTTGTCTCTAAAGCAGTGCCTGATCAGTGAGGATGCCTCTCATGCAATATATCTTGTCGTTATTTTTTCTTATGGCAATTGCTTCATTGGCTGAAGATGTCGATCTTCTTTTGAACATTTGTCCTGCCGGTTGGTCTTGCCGTTCAGATGGTCCCCATCCTTATCTGAAACTTACTCCAACGAATTTCGATCCACACATCTACGAATACAACATTGATATTGCTGACAACTATCCATTCTATGATGCAATCAATCCGATGCGTGTTGAAATATATGTTCGCATGAATGTTTCCCATGGATTTCAAGATTCAGTTATTGCCAAGAGTGTCTTATACGATGCTCTCAGAAAACATGTTCTTACAATGACGGACTTTGCCTATACTTCTGACGAGATGATGTTGATCTCAGCGCTATTATGGCAACCACAAGATAGAGTATATGGCATTGACACTAACGATCAACTGACAACACAGCTAGTCATCTATCGATTCAATGGTACTATGCCACCTTTGTCTAGCCCATGGTATACACTAAAATTCAGACGTAATCAATAAAATATCACATCAACGATTTGAAAGATCGATAACAGAAAATTTTGATAAATAGTTTGTTGATCATTTCAGAAAGAGAGTCGCACTGCATGTAAATTCTTATTTAGTCATATTTTACGAGCAATCTCCAGAATTTGCATTTCGGGTTGGTTTACCGAAAAAAGACGAAAACATGATATGTGACTCCAAAAATGATCTCATTTTTAATCCGACTCCGATCTTTCTTTCGTTCTTTCCGTATAAAAAAAACAACAACCGGACTCACAAGACATTTCTCATATCTTCTAAGAGCCAAATAATAATACATAGCGTAATAGTCGAAAACATCCTTCGTTTCTCTGATCATAATTGGATGTCACTGATGTAGGTATATGAATGCCAGTATCAGTGTTAGTATGGTAGGCTGTTAGGGTTTTCTCATCACCTATAATCACAGTGATAGTTACATCCTTTCTTGTAACAAGATCGACTCTTTCTCTCCTTACTATTGAAGCTGATGTATTTTTCATGTTGACTAACGACTTCTCTGCTGCGCTAGTCTTGATGATTTTTCTTCGAAAGGTATCGTATGAATCAGCTATTGGATCATGTCACCTTGTTCTTTCTGTTAATGACAGTAAGAAACTGTTATCACGCTGACGCATTATCAGAGAATATACTCATGTTCCCGATTGGAAAGGTAATATATAAATGTATGTATACATTTGTTAGCCATTAGCAGAAAACCATTTATTGTACCGTAGTCCTTTCGCACGAATACATGTTATCCTCAGTAAGTTCGTCTTCACTCAATACGTAATAAGTGTGCGTGCAGATTTGGAAGCGGATTTGAGTGTGTGTATGAGTATGGAAGTAGCTGTAAGAGCCGATAGCTATAGAACATCCTCATGTTCATATCCATACTATCATGTGCAATACCATTATTGCAGCATAGTTGTATAAGTCAAGACAGTCATTAAAGCAAGAGAAGTAGGAATCAAATTCATATCTCACAGCAAATCGTGTATAACATTGGCAAAAAATAATAGACGAGAATCAACTTCAGTTATATGTTTTGCCCAAGTATTTTTCTGACTATGCTGGTTTCCATTGAATATTGCATCAGAAGTAAGACTAAAAAAAATGCTTTATGAGTTTAGAAGGAGACCATTCAAAAGAATTCATTTTCTTCTCAGTTTCATGATAAATAGTCTTAGTTATGAGTACGAAAAATAATAACGCAAAACATACTTTTTCTGACATCATACCATCGTAAGAATAGAGTCACAAGTAGGTATGCATGTCCACTTTTATCCTGTAACCATATATTTCCTTAATGATTCGTACATGACTGTGAATGAAGCAAAGTCTTGCACCAACATTCTAGAGTTTAGTAAAAGAATGTTTTTCGTCCCGATCCTGCATGTTTTAGAACAGCGCTACTTGTTTATTTTTCAAAAAACCAATATTATTCTCGTGAAAAAGTGTACGCATCGGAAGATTGACAATAATTCTTTTTCGCTGTTGTTTTAAAAGTCTTGATGTCGGGAAATGCATATTTTGTGGATTTGAATTACATTTTCAAGATCCAATACACTTACTCTAAAGCAAAGAAACACAATATCATACACAAGTATGCAAATATTGAAACACCTATATTCGTAAGATTGTACATAAAGTGCATTACTTTGACTTTTGAAATTTTGTGTTGGCTCAATCATTTGCAGAAATTGTTGAAATAGTTCAGTCGATAACTGTCTTAGAATACAAAAAACCATGGCCTTTACATAAGGAAGTGTATATGCAAGTGCTATACGATGGATTGGTTTACTAATTCAAACAGTAACTAATGCAAAAGCTCAATTGAATGATCAACCACTTACTGTTCACTACTATTTTGATAAAAAGCTTGATAAAGAATACCGAACATCAGTTCTGAATGCGATACACAATATCGAAGAAGCTGCACCCAGCATCCATTTGAGCTATAGCAAGACAGTGCCTAACCGTATTAGTATTTTCCATGGTTCAAGCAGTAGATCTTGTGTTGGAATGAAAGAAGGCGAACAAGATATAGAGCTGGGATGGAACACCAAGGGTAATGTACTACACAAATTACTGCATGCATTGGGATTCACAACGAACACCAACGTGTAGACCGCAGTCAATACATTCAATGTCTGAGTGAAGATAGGGTCAACTATGGTTTAGTGGGTATGTCAATCAGTAGATACAAAGATGATTTTATCATGCACTATCCTACTCAGAAGGACACAATCATTAGCCGTATTCTCTGGGTATCTCATAACGATAAATGTCTAAATAATGGTGATAAACTCGCTCTCAACACTTTGTATTCACCTGTAATCAGAATCGGCACATGAAATCCAAAACAAGGTACTACTGGTTTATTCTCTTGTGGAAAGCGTAATATGAAAGACAATAAAGTACCATTCGGTAGGTTTGTCGTAGATGGTTATTGTGGCCCAGATAACGGCCCAAACTGCCCCATTCGTCGAACTTACGGTGGTATACAATCAAGGTATAATGATGAGAGAAAAAAGGCAACACAGGAAAAATAGGCTTATTTTATTGCGACACAAAGTATATGCCAAAACCAGAAAAGCAAGCAAAATACCATGATGGTATTTGCGGACCCGATAACGGCCTTAATTGTGAATCTTGTTCGAAATTACTTGATTAAAATATTTATTATCTAATGTTTGCTTTAGGAAATCTTAATTTGTAAAAAAAGAAATGTTAAATTATTCAGTGTATATAAAACACAAGCATGGTATGCGTCATGTTGACTCTTATACTTGAATGTAATATGAAGACATATACCAACTGTCATAATCAATTTGGATTCTGGGATAGGTATTTTTATTATAAACAAGTCACCGAGATTAATTTCAACCTTGTTTAAACGCCACATCAGAGTATATTTTGCGCTCTTTGAATAAAAAATTTTAAAGAAGTTAAAGTGACACCTTTTTCTAGTCTTGGGCAACTGAGTAGTTAATGTTCTCGCTAATTTCTTTGATTTGTTTTTTTTTCTGTTTTTCTAGAGGTTACATGCGCTCTCGCGGAAATTGCTGCCATTGGTGTTATTTTTCATCAAAAAAGTTATTTTGAATCCCGCAACTTATTGTTTTGCGTTTATCTGATTCTGTATGAGAAAAGCATTTTTTTGCCTACGCATGAATTTTGACATTTTAAGATTTGAAACGTCTTGAAAAAACTTTTTGACAGCGTATGAGTACGTTTAGAAAGTCGAGTTTGAATGTAACTTACATCGCTCACCATAATTCATTGAACAGCACAGTCGCTACTGTTCAATTTTGGATAGGTTTCTCATGAGAACAGTCTTTACCAAGATGATAGATATTGAAAATGGTAGACATACTACAGTTGACCAGGGATGAGTATGGATATGGGTAAAGAAATTACTTTTACACACACTCGAATGACACTCAGTCCTGATTTTTTAACTTCGTAACGTATTTCGAGATTTTTTAAAATGATTTGTGCTGTTTATTTCAATTATAATATCAAAGGTGTCCCAATTACTTGACTATTCTATTGTTTCTGAAAATTACACGAAAACTTGTGAAAATAGACAAAAAAAAACATCTGATTAGTAGAAAATACCCCTGCAAAATTCTTTTATCCAGAGCGAATGAATTTTAAAGAGCCAAGTAACCTAGATATTGTTCATCTGTTAGAGAAACTCGGGCTAGTTATTTTGAAGGATCTCAAGCTATTTTTCGAAAATAGTAGAGGATACTGGAGAAACCTATAATGATTGGAACAAATTAACATGGATTGAAACATTCTCAGATCTATGCATTTCCAGTGTTTGATAAAATTGACACGTGCAACTTTTATAACTCATTATTCGTGGTGATTGGTCTTAGTGTTGAACAATGCTGATGCTAATTATTCTGTGGGCTAAAATATCCAATTTCTATGTAATTACTATTAATTTACATTTGAATTAAAGGTATTTATTTGTTTATTTTTATCAAAAGAAAAACAATGAATGAAGGTTATGTCATTATTTATTGATTTCTTTGTATTGATAATCGAATCAAATGAAACTCGTGTCGGATTAGTCGATAAAACATTTCAATTATTTCCATGATCGAAAGGAAACTGATACCAATCCATAGACCAGTTTGACCACCAATATTTGAAAGAACATCAACTAAACCTAATGTGGCTGTTTGAGAATTAGTTTCGACTATATTTGTTTCGCGTACAACGTTCACAGCAAGATAATCTGCATAGATATGTTCACGCCACGTGATTGACCAATTGGTAGGTAATACTACCGCCGAATTTTCTACAAAAGCCTTAATATTATCCATCTCCCATTCGAGCGGTGCTCGTGATGAAGATGCTTGAACAATAAAACTTGTTATCGTACATTGTTGTAAACAATTTAAACAATACTTATCCATTAGTGATGACGAGGTCGAAAGTCTATTCGACGCCATTGAATAACATCCATCGGTTACATTGCAAAGAGGTGCTACGATGATTTCGTCATCGTCTGGTTTAACAATCGAGCGAGTATTCCATAAATTTGGGTTCACACAACCACATTGTTCATAACTACAATAGATCAAAGGTTTTTGCCTCTCTGAAAATACAATTCATATTATTCGCTCTGGACATACTTACACGTACATTTGTTCACATAGCTGATAGCAGATTGTTTCCGAATAGCCATAATCAGCGCCATTATATTTTTCAAGCATAGCTTTCATTGAAAGAGAAATTTCATTTGTACAGCTGGTATATGGTGATGATAAAAAGTATGCTGCCTTCTTTTTATAGCCCAATTTATGCTTTCGTCCCGGTGCCAATTCTAGACCGGCTGCTTCAATTAGTGGTAATTGCGTATTGTCATGTACTAGAGCAATGACTCCAACGGCTACATAAAAATTCAGAAAAGCATGTTATCAAATGGATCTCTTTTTTTGCCACTTACAATTTGCCGCATAAGGAACATATTGATGACTGTGTACATAGAGACCTAAGTAGAGATTACCATCACCTCCATTCTGATTTGTATATCTTATATTATCATTGCTGCTGTTTTTAAGTTTTGCATTGAACGTATAGCATAAACCATAGGATGATGATAGAAATGGAATAAAATCCTGTGCTGAACATTGTTGGAAATTGTATGTACATGATCGAAGCATCGAAGTAAGTGGAAAGAAAAACGGTTCAACTGATTCATTTCTATTGCTTTTATAAATTAGAAAATCCCAAAGATCGCTTATTTGAAACGTATTAACTGTTGTTGTATGATTCGTATTTATTGCATTGATGTAGCTTAAAAATGGTTCCATAACTTGATCATAACGAAGTGGTGATCCATTACAAAAGCTAAATGCAGGAAAATATTGAGGCCATTCTCTGATATAGGTTACATCCATGCTTGTTGGATAGTCGAAATAGGCCAAAACTGCTTTAACAATAAAAAAGATCATAATTCCAGCAAATCCAATGAATGAAACCGACCAAAACATACGATTGTGGATGCTTTCACTGCGAGCAATACCTGGTAGAGCATGAGTGGATGTATTTAAGCAGAACTCACGAATAATGGAACGACGACGAGGTCGCTTTTTTCCTTCAATCATTGGTATTTTATCAATTGGTGAGATTATATTTGTGCGAGGAATTTGATTTAGCATCATAGCACGTTATCTTTCCAAAATGAATAGTGAAGTTGACTATTCATTATTATAAGTTAACAATACCTCATCGAACAAACATTGTTTTTCAGGCCAAGGAAATTGGTTTTTACCGGTAAGATAGAATGCTTCTTTCCGACAGATAATTGATAATGGAATTAAAAATTTACTTTTTCACGAGTTTTATACAACATGATTTGTTATTGTTTCCTTCTCGAAAGCTTTCTCAATATTTGTCTGATTAATTATTAGCAGAAGTGCCAACGTAAAACTAATAAACTGAATGTTATTCTATGTAGAAACAGTTAATAGAAATCGGCACCGATCGTCGAACGGTTGATAGAAAAGTGTTTTCTTTTAAAAATATTCTTTCATTTGTCTCGTTCCCAAAGATATTTTTACAAAATCAATCTTTCACAAAGATCGCCCTATTTTGGGTTGCCGAAATATTTGAAAAAGAAAAAAAAGGAGCTCATACGGATGTATTTTTGAAGAACTTGCTCCTTAACTTTTGAAAAGAATTTTACTACTTCTCTATCACGTGTCAGCTGACAACAATAAAAAAAGCAAAAGTTTGGTCTAAAATATAGAAATAAAGTTCAATATCCGAAATATGTGAAATCAAGAGAACCATTCTATTAATGAACGATTCTAGAGATAAGAATTCTTAACAAAACGAAGTGTTACAGTCAAATAGATTATTTATGATTATGATCTATCAGGCAATATATTCCATGCCAAGTCTTACCTCATTGACAACAGAATTTGACAAAAGCAAATTGTATATAATTTGAAAAATTTCTCACTCGTCGCTCTACAATATCTAGTTGAAAAAAACAAAAATTTGTAGAGAAAAGTTTATTCAATAATTTCATATAAAAGCTGAATACCTGTCTATCATCGAATAAAAACTGCGTTAAAACTGGACAGATCATTGTTTACAGATTAGATTTTTCTACCACTTCAAGATGATTCTATTCCTCGAAGGTGATAATGATGCGGATATGGGTGTGAGCTATAGGTCTGTAGTGCCTGATGAGGGAACAGGAAAGATCGTTATCATCATTCTCTCTCTCGTCTCGACGGTCTCTTTCACACATCACACCCTCAAATTTTGTTTAGTAGAGAACTTGGTTATTGAAGCCTTTTCTGTAAAAATAAGAATGATACATTTCGAAATAACGCATACTATTAAATTCAAGCTAAACTTCAATCTTTTGTTATCCGTGTTTCGCGAAGATTCGGAAATTTGAAACATGATATATTATAAGCAAGTATTTTAGCAACAAAAACCATTACTACACTTGTAACGATATCAGGAGCGATGCATGATCAAAAAATGAACAATTAATTCATAATAAATCCATTTAATTTCAGAAGCACAGAATCATCTGTATGGAAAGGCTTGTCAAGTTACGTAGATTTGTCAATAGGTACATTTGAACGAGCGATAATGTCGAAAACAATATTTATGGAGACGAATCTTGATTTTATATAAGCTTGAATGGAAATATTTATCATTGAAGTAGAGTTTTTAGGAAAATTAGTTTTGTAGTATGTGATCAAAACTATCTTCTACTTAAAAACCTTATAGCTATTTTCTGATGTAACTAAAATACAAATTCCATAGCTTTCTTTTCACATCTGTAATATATTAGGTTTTCAAAAGAGACGCTCTTCTTTAAAGAAATTATTTGAAATACAACTATTCTGAAGAGTTTCCAATCTAGATATTCAATCCAAATGATATTTTTCTCTTTGTAGAAGCAGTCTAAGTAGAGCATGTTAGTTGCTTAAACTTAATTCAAATATGAAATTCTAATTTAGCTAGAAATTTGTATTCTATAATTGGGCATTCTAAAAATCTTTTATTGCAATAGAATTTCAATACGTAGGAACATAATTTTGAAGCTTTCTCTAGGATATAGATCTTCATTTTTTAGTCGGAATACGAGTTAAAAAAAATTGTCGGATTTGATGTTTTTATCTCGCTACTTGCCAATAGCCTTGACAATAAACTACCCACAAAATAGTCATATATGAGGACATCACGTTTCAAAAATTTCTAATACATGATTAGAAATTGGTATGATATCAATTCTGTTTGAGGTTTCTCGTCATTTGAAAACTAAATAGATTTGAATCAAATGGTTCGCTTTTCACTTTAATATTGTATACTTTCTTTAGAGTAAACTTCAGATTCTGAAAAAAATTTCGCTTTATGTAGCCATTTTGGTCTCTTTGACCCCAGATGTCTTCGAGATATTATTTGATTCATAAAAAAAGTTTCAATTTGGTAGTATAATCTGGCAGGCTTCTATGAATTTGGGAAATACAGAATTCATTTTCGATAGAAGAAAAGAAATTATCTCTTTAATCAAAATAAGTTTATCACAGGTCAGAGTGTTGTTTAGGACAAGTACACAATTTCAAATTTAAACTCAATGATTTATATATAGATCTAATCTAAGATGAATATGAACATTGGAAATTACTCGAAAGTAAACTGATCGAACGAAGATGTAGATATGTATTGCATGGTTCGAGAATTTTGTATTGCCTATAATGTATGCTTGTGGACAGGTAGTATAGGAACGCTAGACTGACTTTATCAGATTTTATATAGCAAACAATGCACAAAGAGTTCCATTACCAATAAGCAAATCATAACTAATTGGAAAATACATGAATTTCATTCTTTTAAATGTTTGTCTTCATTAGGTTTCATAAATTGAAAGGCTTATTTTTATGATCAGATAGCTTATACTCTCAAACTATTAAAGCTTTAATGATCAGCGCAAAACAATAGTCAAAATTCCAACACGAGCTATTTTTGGAAATACGTATTAGTTATGAAGAAAAAATTCCAGTGGTTGTCGGAATCAGAAACGAGTCACTCTGACAACTGTTTTGATTTGTTTAAAACGCCTAGAAATAAGTGTTGGTAGAAATCTAAACAAATTTATGGTCTACATGTGAATTATATGCTTTTAATCATTAAGTTCCCTACACATTAGTATACTGAATAATGACAATTCTCGATTTAAGAGCACACACCGATTGGTTTCACACTTTTCGAATCAAAGTAACCTCCAATTGCTTGTATTACTACTTTCACGAAGATTTCTCGGTACTGGTTATTTTTCTTTCTATTTTAACATTTTAATTTCTCCTCTTTGTTTCATGATTCTCGTAGTTTCTTTCTCAGTCTGCCCTTTTTTTCATCCAGAATCTAATTATACGCGCAAAGGCTCACATCAATTTTTTACCATCTTTTTGCTAGTTCGTTTGTTGATTTTGACTGTTGTTTACATAAAAGAAAAAAATTCTCCTTAAAGAAGTCACGTTTACTATTGCTGATCTTTTCTTCTCTACTTGATTTTTTGCATGCGCTGAAGACGAGAAAAAAATAGGCTTTTATGCATCGAAATGTGCTATATTACAAATATTAGAATATTCACTTGTGAAATTCATCTTTGTCTCATCAGTAAATTGAATATATTAGTTTTGAAGATATTGACATTATAGACGACATTGACCTTCATGAGTACGGATCGTTCTTTATGAATAAGAATGTCGACAACATCGCTTCAAAGGGCCATAGAACTAGTGACAGATCCAACTAATCCAAACGAAGATTGGACAATGATCATGCAGATTTGTGACGATGTAGCTATACATAAAAATAGGTATTGAAGTATTTTTCCTACATTCAATGTTTAAAACATGTTTTTCAAAGTGCTGAAACGGCAATAATAGAAATTAGAAAAAAGTTACAGAAGAATTCAGTCACTCATGGATGGCGATCGATTGCATTAACACTTACTGTATGTCATTTAAATTTCTTTCTATTCTGTTCGATTGTTTATGTTTATATTAGTTGCTTGATGCATTAGTAAACAATTGTGGAAAAATATTTCATATACATGTAGCAAATGAAGAATTTCTCAAAGCCCTGAAAAGTGTTATCGCGCCGAAGAATGATACACCAATACCGATTGAAGAACAAGTACTTGGCATGATTCAAGTAAGAATATCTTGTTTATATATTTAATTATACAGATTCACTTATTTCTATGACAAAATAACGACAGCATTGGACATTAGTTTTTCGTCATGATTCTGATTTACAAATTATTCAAGAACTTTATCAAGAATGCAAACGACAAGGTTATACATTTCCACCGGTTGATAAAAGCCATACTATGAAAGTGACGTTACCCATCAAAGTGAATCATTCTTTCCAAAACAATAACAATCGACTTTTTTTTTATTTATGATAGGTCGAGTCCTCTCGTCCCATTTCAGCCGTACCAATAACGGTACGATCAAATCTTCTCCCTTACTTTTGCTCTATACTTTCTATGAATAGTCGCAATCAACACCCAGAACAATGGCTAGACCGGTAAAATGACAAAGAAGACCTGTTTATATACAATGCCTGTTCATTTTCAGAAAACTTCATCTATATCTAATCGATGCGATGAATCGGGTTATTCTAATCCGTATTTGAATAATAGCAATAGGACAGTACTTATTCGACATTTATCCGATGAACAGATTGGCAAACTTCGTAGTGAACTCGACATTGTTCATATAAATGTTGAAGTACTCGATGAAATGCTTGCTACATTGGAGCCTGGCAATGAGCATCAACAAGATTGGCAATTATTAACGGTTAACAAAATCTAGAGAAAAACAAATGAATTAATTTTTGTTTCTTTTTAACTAGGATTTATACAGGGTCTGTAAAATGATGCAAGCACGCATTGTTGGCCTTCTATCGTTGACGGCAATCGAGGATATTGCTGGTAGATATATGAGTGAATTTCGAATTTTCTATCTTGTTTTTCTTAGTCGATCTTCTTCGATGTAACGATCAATTGAACAAAGCATTCAATTATTATCATTGGTATATGGAGACACGAGAAAAACTACTACAACAGGCTGTTTCTAGTCCACAAGTTAAACGAAGCAATAAAAAAATGCCGTTGCATGCTACTATACCACCGCTTTCGCCCATTAAAGTAATCATCTACAATGTATAAAGACTGTACCTATACTTTCTCTCGTTTACTTTAAGACGCCAACTGCACCGTACTATATTGAATGTGACAATGAAGATCAATTGATAACAATATCGAAGGGTGGACAAACGACTACGGGCAATAATTCACAACAATCACCCACAGAAGATGGAATCATCTCTTCGAACATGAATCGTCATCTTTCTGGATGTTGATTGCGACTATTCATAGAAAGTATAGAGCAAAAGTAAGGGAGAAGATTTGATCGTACCGTTATTGGTACGGCTGAAATGGGACGAGAGGACTCGACCTATCATAAATAAAAAAAAANCAATCTCGGACTAGCCTAGGCAATCTAAGATTCGCCTGAAAATAGTACGTCCAATGTGACATTGGCCTAGACCAATCCGAGATTGGACGTATTCAAGTATGAACGCTGACATATATATCACTGTATCTACAATAAATTTAAATTTATTTTTGACTTCAATTTTTTGTCGGCGAAATAAATTGTCGACAAAGTGTACATGTCGGCAAAACAATTTGTTGGCAAAGCGGTGTCGGCAAAGTGATGCGTCGGCAAAGCTATTTTCGATAAAGTGATTGCAACCCCTTTCTTTTCTACATACTTGACGAATGATTAGCAAGCGCGTTTCACAAAAGCTGTGAAATTTATTTAAAAATGACCAGATTATTTTCGTTCAATTGGAACCGATCGGTTCCATTAATTCATTTGCAATGGGATTCTATCATTGATTCTTTCGGACAAACTCTGATGATTTCCGACTAAGTCTTGAGCAACACTTTTTGAACTGGTGGGAATTCGTTGGGTAACAATCGTGTTGGGATCTAGTAAGAAGAAAGTTTTCGAAACGTCAGAAAAGCTGCAGGAGTCTGAGCCGGAATGGAATTAAATAAAACATACCGATTCCTACGACCTTAACACTGGAATTAGATCATCGAAAAATCATTTTCAATCGCTTGAAAAGTAGCAACGTTATAGATTTTTACTCATAAATATGATTTCCTAGTAGCAAACCGAAAAAAGGTGAGTGGTTATGATTTGTGACTTTGGCAGTTGTTCTTAGCTTTCAAGGGTATTTTATACAATTCTTAATGGTTTTTTGTATTCCTAAAGCAAACCACCCACAATCTCTCAAAATTACATAAAATCAGACAAATTTATGAATAACCGTGTCGTTCGTATCAAAATCTATGTTTGATATTTCAGTACTTAATTAACCCTTTGAAGATCAGCATATAGAATTCTGCACCCTTTTTTAAAGTTTCTTATGTTTTGAAAAGCTCGCGAGCACAGAAAGATATCGGGATGCAGCAATGTAATGTTATCGGCTGATCTAAATATCCCATTAATTTTGCTTGCAAGTGTATGGGAATTGTAAAAGATACAAAATATATTAACTGACTTCGACTTCGAGTGAGTGAGGTGTTTTTAGTAATATTTAACTTATAGATATTTTTCTTCTACACATTAACTATTATATTTATATACGATTATGATAGATATTAATTACATAATATGTGTAGAAATAAACAATCCTTTGTTTCTTACCCTTGTCTCTCTATGTATCTTTTGATAGTAAGTCTTCATTTTCAATGAATTACTCGAATCATGCATTAGTTAACTCTTATACTTTGTGTAAATAATCGAAAGAAATTTTTAGACTGTCTGGTACAATTTTGAAATGAAAATAATATTTCTGAAGTGAGTTTTGAACCTTTTTTGGAAGAGTCTCAGACTTCAAAAATGACGCTCGATCGTAAAAATAGCTGTATTTCAGTAACTATTAAGAACTACCACTTCAACTTCATCTCGTAGATAATGGTAAGTCGCAGCTACATTTTGGTAAGAGGAAAAAATGTTCACCTCTTGTGACTCATGAATTATTAGCATTTTATTGTAAAACAAATGAAACCTTTGCATCTCACACATCACCCAGGAAACGATATCTAAACTTGTTGGAGGATTACCACTTCTGGTTAACAATTATCATATATATTTAGAAGTCGCTAACTATCACGGTCGAGCAAAGATACTCGTAAGGCTCTATTCCACAAGAAATGTTTTAACGATATGTAAATTTTAACGAATAGAAATTCCCAGCTTCAACCGAAATTTATATGCATTATTTTGAGGATCAAAACATGCTACTCGAACGATAAGGCTTCCGTTAATCCTATTTCAATTGTCAAACTTGCAATTTTGTCTAGTTCGTCTCAGAATCAAACCATTGTGACAAAGGACAGCAGAGTCGAAGTCAAGAACCATTGGCAGATGGGCAAATGAAAAAGAATCTCGTAACAGCAATTGAATTTGTTGCATCTCTACCAATGTCTCAACAAAACAATAGCACGAAACACGATCATCAAGAGGCAATAACTTCGATGAGAGATCAACTGATCAAACGTAGAAATTTGCATTATCGTCGTCGTCAAATAAATGATATAATGTCTTTAATTGCTGTGTTTGGTTTGGTGCTCATGATAATTGATACTGAACTGCGGCTTAATCAAGTAAATGCAACTAGTATCGTTCTCATTCGATCTATAATAGGTATCTCAACAGGAATACTAGTCGGACTTGTATTTTATTATCATTCAATCAATATGCGACTATATGCTATTAACAATCACATTGCTGATTGGCGTGTCACGGTAACAATTCCAGCAATTGTCATTATCTTAAGTGAAGCTCTCGTATGTGGTATCCATCCATTTCCTTACGATAACAAACCATCATCAATATCTTCATTGTTAAATAATTCTGGTGGGATTCAAATGTTTCTTACATTGCCAAGTAAGTGAAGAAAATGCATTATTATATGCTATCATAATCAAATTGTTCTCTTAATTAATAGTGTTTGCTCGTCTCTATCTCATTGCACGTAGTGTAACATTGCATTCACCACTGGTGAGTGCAGCTTCATCGCGTACCATTGGCTATCTCAATCGAGTTCCAATAACCATTTCGTTTATCCTTCGAGCCTTGCTACAAACCTATCCAGCTCTCAGTTGGACATTTGTCATGATAGTAACGTTACTTATCGCTACTTGGTCATTGCGTGTATGTGAAAAAGCAATGTGGTGGCCGATAAATCCGTTATTATCACAATCGACCGAATCTACATCGACATTCAGCAGTGCAATATGGCTCACAATAGTAACATTTACAACTGTCGGTCAGTAGTTTTACTGTTAAATATCGAAGGTGAACAACTATAATATCATGAGGATTCTTACTCTTTCAGGATACGGTGATGTTACGCCTCTGACTTATTGTGGCCAAGGTAAGACTACAGAAATCATATGATCCTTAAAGAAATTGTAGAAACCCGTCACTTTCAAGCATAAGATATCGTGCCTAAATTTCGATAGACTTTTTGCAACTCTGTCAACATAGATATTGTGTTATGATCAATTTTATTTATGAATATTTTAATATTCTAATAGATAATGTCTATCTTCGATTGAGAGTTTTAGAGAATGTTTCACTAAAATAATATATTCTTTTGTAAGATGTATATTATTCATGAAGACGCTAGAAACTCATGTATATTTTCATAATGATTTATGTATAGTTTCAAAAACTGAACCGTTTATAAAGCATTAATCAACACCCCTATGGGATTCTATTTTACGTAGAATCTTGAGTATGAGTATTGGAAAGCCGAAGATTTTCTCATTAATTTAAACGAGGACCAATTCACTACAATAAAGATACGCGATATTGAGATAGCAGATATTCCATTCACTATCATGGATAATTCTGAGAAATTCAATTGCACGAAAGCTCAATGGTTATAAGTATTTATTCAAAAAAATCAGCAAGATCATGATAGGTGTTTCTAAGCTAGATTGAATTATCAGCATTCACCATGAAAGAAGGATGACAACAGGAAGCAGAATTGATAGGATGCTGATCTGAGTATAACATAATACTTGAAAACTTTTATAAAAATGTTTAAGAATTACTTTGTAATGATGAAGCATCAAAAGGTTTATTGAGAAATGCGTCTAAGCTTTCAAAGATGTATTTTTGGTGCTAGGATTTTTCGTCGCAGCACTAATTGTTGGGGACAAAATGCTGCAAGACTTCATTGTATCATAAATTGGCGCATCGACAATTAGTTTTGTAGAAGGTAGTGACGAAGATAGAAAAAATGCTACGGAAATACTATAGTTTCTAAAAACGTTCAATTCTAAATTAAGAAAAAGGATTCACATATTCAAAAAAATCCATAAAAATTCTCCATTACTATACTAGGTCAATAATACTAATGTCCGATTCTAGTGTATCTCTTGCAGAAACGGGTCAGAAAATCCTGGGAAATGTTTCGATTGCAAGCTGCTATGCGATGCTCGTATAGTCGATAGGTTACGCTTGTTCTGGCCGATTCTTCCTGAAAATAGAAAAAGCCGATCATTGAATCAAAACGTCGTTGTCCTAGTTCCAAGTTTCGACATTTTTTACAATTTTTTCAGCTGGAATCGATTCGTGCACTTTCGCCTAGGTTTACTAAAAGAGTCTTATGTATAAAAATGCTTCACATACTTTTAACGAAATGTAAGTTTGGGGTGACATTGCCAATGTGTCGTATATCTCTTGGATCTTTTCTTTTTTCAACATAATTTAAGAACAGTTTTAGTAAGATTTTTCGAGTGTACTTCTAAAAGCTTTTGTAGTTTTTATAAATGTATCAATCCTGTTCAAAATCAGAATTCAATTTTTTTCAGAAACTTCAGGATTTTCTCACGATTTCGTTTTTTCACACATCATCATTACTTCCTACAAAATCAATAAGAGTTGGGCTAATATATTGTACAATCAAATCTTGCAATATTTTATCCGTAATGATCTGTCTATACAACATTTTGCAGTGCGGCGATTTACCTTGCCATATAAAGTCCAATCACCACATTTTCTAGATTTCCACCGCTATTATTCAATTTTCTTACTGATTCAACAAATGCAAAGTTAATTTATAGAGATGAAAATCAAACAAGAAAAATAGTTCTTCGTATGTTTCTTAGGCAAGAAGAGGAAGGTTCCATAATTTGAATTCATATTGGTCGTCGTACTAATGAAAGAGATGAATGCTTGTAATTAGCTTGATCAGCGTATGTATTTTGTAATCAAAGATGAGCACCTTTGGCTTGATAATTAAGTGAAATAAGCCTGGAAGCGGAGTCAACAAACTACGTCCTACTTCTAGATGATTAAAGTGCCTCATCGTTGTAGTAATACCCACAACACCCATGAAAAAATGTTGTTATTATGTAGTTGAGAACTTTCAGCTGTTAGTGTGTTTAGCAGACAATCATTATTTTAAATAATATTACGCGCGGATTTAACTTACACTATTTTTATCTCAAAAGATATGTTTTTTTCTATTTGGTTTTCCTTTCAGCTAAATATGTTTGATCTGAGAGGTCACACACAAAGACACGGAATCTTAATCAGAGGGCTGAAACTATTTTAGAGGTTCAAAGGTGCTCAGTTGCTATTTATTTGGTAACCATATAATAGAAATTTCGAAATCTGCAAGAAAAACAAATTATTTGAAATCTAGAAAGTTTTTCTCTAGGTGTCTCCACCATTACTGCTTTCTTTGGTGTGTTTGCTGCGGCCGTTTTGGTTGCTGTGTTTACAAGCAAGATTTCATTAAATCGATCTGAGCAATATGTTCTTGATTTTATCCATCGAATCAATCGGGTTCGAGCGCATAGGGAAAAGACAATGCGAATCATTCAATATTCTTTTCGAGCATGGTTTCTCAAACGAAACGGTCATCATTATCGAGCAACATTTAATTCACTTTATCGCTTACACTCCGCTCTTCGACAAGCACGTATCATCAAACAAGAAGAGCGAAACGCAATAAATGACAATGAATCTTTAATGACAATACTCAATGATGTATACGACGAGCAGAAAACCAATCATATATCACTTACAAGACTTAAAACTCAAATCGGACACCTTGAAGAAAAGATGAATGGAGTAGAAAGTAAATTGGACACTATAGTAAACATGTTATCTAACAACAATCCTACAGTACAGCATAGTTTATTGTGAAAAATCATCAACAATGGCACGCACTTCTTTTCTATGTTCTCAAATGAATTTAGAAGATCGATCGTTTCTTTCTTATTCGATTTAGAAACTAACTTTTTACTGAAATTAGAAATGTTCAAATTGAAAGTATAGGTGTGAATCTGGGTATCTTAGAGTGGTGTATAGGTACTCTGGGAATGAGAATGAGGTTGTAATGAAAGACAAGATCGACATTCCATCTTCACACATCAATCTATCTTTCTATGAAAAAAGACCTCGGCTTGTCTCGATGCTACTCTCGTCAAATGGAATCGTCAAGTAGCAAAATGCCTGTTTTGCCCAAAAATGTCTTCAAGATATATTTCCCAAATTCTTTGTAGCTCATAAAATTTTAAAGAGACATTATTAAACAATCATAGAAAAGGTCTTTCAAAGCTTTTGTTAAAAAAAGCAACTACAGAACAGCTTATATTTAAGCGATATCTACCGATATCTATGAAAATCAGCACGAAAAGGTTATTTTTCTGATGAAAATCTTGTGGATACGTGACTTTTAAGTATGAAAAGGCTACTTCTATGAAAAAACTTGTTAAAATATTCTTTAAGCAACAGACCCAGATAAGACGATTTTCAAGCATAAATAGTTTCTTGCTATGGAAAAAGGTCTTTTCGGATACAGTTGTTTTCTAGTGTGTGTATTAGTAGATAGGACCTAGAATTCCCCTATGAACTCCTTTGATTTCATATAGGAGTACGATAAGCTTCTCTAACTTTTTTGGTGATGGGAAATATTTCAAAGAGAACGGTCATGGTGTGGTGATTTTCTCCTCTAGGATATTGCCACAGTGTGTCATGGAATTTCACGGCAGCTTCAGGTCGAAATAACATGGGAATTCGACGAAAAAATGCGAAAATATTGGCGTTCGCGACGAGTTCTCACTATTTACATAAGTCTGTAGGAATCATAGAGCTTGGCGAAGAATGGCAGACTAAAAAAAAATAAAAGTCTACACTAATATAAAATAAAATTCATTAATATTATTCTATCAATACTTCACTGTTCCATATAGATTATCATTATTATTATTCAAATTCGTCATATTTCGTTAGTAAATAGTTCTTTTTGTCCGAAAATGAGAAGAGTTTCGTAAATCTTCATCTGATCTGAGAGAAGACCGATATGCAGATTATATATAACGATCCCAAAGTGGCGTGATGATAGTCTGTAAATAACATCGAAAACATCACGTTTACTAATCTGGAATTGTCTTCTTTAAACTCACGCGCTCAAAAAATGCGACATTTGAAATCACAGCATTCAACTTTGCTGAACGATATATAGCATAAAAGATTTTTGAAGAAAAATATTTTCTCGAAAAAATTAAGTCTTATGCTGTTCATCATCTGTTTTTCGTCGAAAAACTTTTTCGAAAAATAGTTTTTTCATAAAGATGATTTTCGGTGCGATATACAATTATTTCTGAGAAAGACAAAAACAACACATATCCGTCTGTCATTCAAAAAATACTCACTGTGTATCGTTCTTACTTTTATTTTAATCTCTGAAATAAACTCATGTGACCAGAATTCTCCATGAGTGTCGTCGTCATTGTCGTCGAAAAGGAAGCGGCCGTAGGAAAATGAAAGAATATACGAAACATTCGAAACTATGGTGATATCATCATCCTATGTTTTTCATGCATGTCTTTCTACATACTGTAGCACAAAATACTGCTACTATTTTTTGTTGTGGTCTCACATGGAGTGAATAAAATGACCCACTGACAAAAATTTGATTATTTTGGAAGTTCTATCTAAATTATGGAAAAGCTGGAAGAGCTAATATATTGTTGGTGACAAATATGAAACGTAGAAGTGATTCGAGACTATCAAGTGATCTGGCATTGACCATTCAATTCGAAAGGGATGTAAAAGCAGCAAAAGAATGCTGCCCGGTAGTATCTGGTGACAAGTACCTTTCTACGATTCGATATGAATGATTTGTTGTTTTGAGCCTTTTTTAATGACGTTGTATTACTAGTTATAGTTATAGAAAATTGAAAAAATGTTAAGCAGAGAGTGTGAATAAGTTTATTGAGATTTAAACCAAAAAAGCAATTCAAATGAAGCACTCTGATGAAATAAAAACTGTCAAGAACTGTGGATAAATATTTGTTCACGTGTTTGAAATGTTATCATGTCGGCTATTGTATTGGAATTGAAACCATATTGTTCCAATCGATCTCTGTGTTCGATGCAGCAAAATATTCTTTTTGGAGTTTATCAAAGACCAGTGTGAGAATACGTCGAAAGACTGGAATCAGAGTCTTCCGAACAACAATTGAAACATAATATCGAACTACTGGATTATTATTATATTCCTTGCTAACATCTACCATTCGTGTAAGACGCACATGATTAGTTACATCAGCTGCCAAGTTACGTTTATAAATTTCTTCAACTGTCCAATCGACAATATTTGATTGAAGGTTTTGTACAGCAGGCGAATGCAACTCTTGCATGGATGAATTAAAAACCTGATTGTAAATATCATGTTCGTAAATGTATTCGACCAACATGTCGCCTGGTGGACAACCGGATTTAGTTTCCCGTGGTGTTGATGCTAATCTTGGAGTAATGCGTTTTCGCAGAAGATTGACAAGGAGACCAATAGATTCTCCACTGTCTGTGTCTACGCTCTTGTATTGATAAGGTTGTGTTTCAAAGCTGATATCATGCACATGATTCGATTCACATGTTGCCGCACCTGTGTGTGGCATGCTTTCTGGGCTGAATACAGCAGCATTATTTGAAGGTGATTGTTTTATTCGAGGATATTCATTTTTCTGAGTTTCTGGCGTATCAACAAGTTTCATTTGTTTGACGTTTTGTCTCTCAGAGAACGGGATCGCATTACTATCTGGTGTTTCATTAGTGATCATGATTGACTCCTCTCTTTCGTCATCATTATCGTCGGCTGGCACCATCGATTGGGCAGATATTCCATCATCTAAACGCGAAAGAAAAACAAATCCCAGATGAAAAACAAACTCATGAATGATCAAGCGTGTTCGTTCTTCTGACTATATCCAAGAAAGCATTAAATGATGGAATTAGAATTGGATTATTAAGACGTTGGCGAACAACAATAAGAAAAATATCGGTAAGAAATTTTAGAAATCGCTTGCAAGTCAGTATAAGCTGTGAAAGTCTGCATGCATCTCTTTGTCATAAAGATTTCCAAAGTTTCCTTTTCGAAATACTCAATAAAATACTACTTCTATGAAATCTCATTGAACAGCAATGGGAAATAATTTAACAAAATTGCCGTATAGTAGAATTTGAATGATCGAGCAAAGCAACTGTAAACTATGTATATGCGGACCGTCTTTATAAATGTCGTCATTCAATCGTGTGCCTCTACCTTTGCTTGTTACTCTAACATCTACTGCAACCGGTTAGAATAGAAGCTTGTATAATACGCACACAAGAACATTTGCAACATGAACAATACAGAAATTATGCTTCTACATTGATATTGATTGATAAAAGCATACAACTTACCTTCAGGTGGGTTCTCTTGGACTCTTTCTTCTGAAGATACATCGGGTATTGAAGCAGCGTCACCTTAAAAGAAATATTATATTTAAACGACAACCGTACTAATTATAGTCATCTAGTGTTTTAAACTAATAACACGCTAATCATTCTCAAAATATTTATCATGAGAGCAATCAAACTAACCTGTCAGGTTATGCTTATTATAATTAATTCTTCCATGTGATCTATTTGAACTCGATATCTCAAGTCGATTTCTAGTATATATGTGCTGGTTACCGTTCAAGTCATTTCAAAGAAAAAAACCGTTTTTATTTGATGTATTCTTTTACGAAAGCTTGCAATTGATTGCATTAATTTCATGCGTCAACAGTACGTTTCGAAACGCATCAGATCTTTTCAAATTACAAACTGAACAAATCCATTGTGAGATTAATATAATCAATTGAGATCGACTTCATAGTTTCTTTTTTTATGAGTTATATTTCGTGACATCATGGCTTTTGAATTATTACGAAGTTCTTCTAATCAGTGACATTTCGTATATTCGTTAACAAAGACTTATGATTTCCGAATAAAAATGACTTCTTAGGTAAATCAACTTTGCACAATAGAAAACGATCACTTTTGCGATCCACAGTTAGTAAAAATATTTACAATTCTTTCAGTCTTTTTTAATATATTTTCAAAACAGGTGCAAAACTAATACAGAACTACCTGTTTCTATTATATATACTGTTCTAAACGAATCATGAAAGGAAAAACAGTAATAAAAAAATATATTTTTTCATTTCGAATCATAATAACAACCTCTGATTTCATTATAAGTTGTATAGAAACATTGTTTCTCACAAAATCATACCAATTTTCTTTGAAAACGTACCGGTCGTTTATGATACTCTATAATTTAAGCTATCGAAGATAAAGTGAATTTCGGCATAGTCTATAGCTGAAAGAACTTGACTTACCGACAGCCTTGCCTGCAGGAACTTCTACTGTTTCAAGAGTTCTACTTGATGGTGTTCTTTCTACAGTAGTTTGTGTATAATATATGATAACTGTATAAAAACACTTATCGCTCGTACTCAGCCTGATGCAAAACTAGCTATTGTGGATTAATTCTCATGGTGGCAAATAATAATATTTGCATTCTCATTCGGAGAGTATCACTTACCTAGCATTGTAATCGTCTCAGCGTTTGGTATTTTGGCAGCCACGCTGATCTCGTCCGTTTGGGGTTCTATTAAAACAGAAATACGGTTTCAGAAAAAGTATATTCTTTGCTTTCAAATCTATATATCTGCTGTGATATCTAGGCAAAATGTCAAAGGAAAAGATACTTTTAGGTTCATCATGTGTAATTATTTTGAAAAATTAGCTTCTAAATAATAATTTTGAAAACATGAAAAGGGTAATTCTTTCGATAGATGATATTTGAAATTAGAGGGTTGGAACTTACCAACCATTGGTACCATTTCATCATTTTCACTTTCATCAGTTGTGGTCCATGTTGCTGTTTTTGCTTCTACAAAGATATTTGTTTCAATGAGATGTATATAAAGAACAGTAAATCTACAAAAATTTCTCCCTCGTGCGAGGTATGATGCAAGAATGAGGCATTGTACACTCCTCTCAATCGCAACATATACAAATAAGATTCATCATTCTTAATCGGAGAGTATGACTTATTCAATTTTGTAGTCATTTCAGCATTTTGTATTATGAGTCTCATGCTGGTCATACCAGATTTGAATTCCATTAAGGGTAAATTAAATTTAAGAAAAGTGTATTCCTCTGTTTTCGTTCAATATGCTTGCTAGAATATATTCACATAATATTAAAACAAAGCATGTAACTGAGTTCGTCATAAATGCAACTTCATTTTAATTTAACTCCAGAATAAATTTAAAATAATAAAAGCAGAATTTTTTTGTTTGACGAAAGTTAACATTTGATAACGTAAACTTACCATCAGTTTCGACTGTTTCAACATCTTCACTTTCATTTGTTGTTGCCGGTGCTTCTCCTACAAATATATTTGTTTCAGTACTATGCATATCAAGAATGATAACTCTACAAAAATCTTTATCAGGTATTTCATGAGATAGAAAAATTAGCCTCTGTAGTTCTTCTTATCACGACAACGAATAATAAGATTTGCCATTCCAATTCCAAGAGCAAGCCTTACTTAACATTGTAACGGTTTCAGCATTCTATATTTGGAAAACCTTACTGAATATAGCAGTCTTGCGTGCTATCAAGAATGCATTCTTTTCCCGAAAAAGTGCTTTCTTCGATTCTCCTTCTCTATATTTACTGTGACATTTGCACACAATTCAAAAGAAAACATGCTATTTAGTTTTTAATATGTATAATTGTTTCTTTAAATTTAACTTCAAAATCATTTTTTAGGAAATGAGAAGCACATTTCTTTTAATGCATGAAGTTTAACCTTCCACAAATTCAACTTACCGTCAGACTCGGCCGTTTCAGCTTCTTCACTTTCACTGGTTGTGCTTGATGCTGTTGGCGCTTCTTCTACAAAGACATTTGTTTTAGTATTATGCATATGAAGAGTGATGATTCTACAAAAATCTTTAGATTATATTTCATGCGATAGAAAAATCAAATTCTCTGCACTTCTTCGTATCAAGAAGAAAGAAGGTAGCAATCGAATTCAGGGTGCATGAGTTACAAAATATCATGGCCCCTTTATGATTTTGTAATTTGTGAGTCCCGTTGGCTGCAGCGATCACAGGTTGCATTAAGAATGCATACTTTCTCCGACAACGTGAATTCTTCGATTCTCCTTCTCTATATTTACTGTGACATTTGCACACAATTCAAAAGAAAACATGCTATTTAGTTTCTTATATGTATAATTGTTTCTTTAAATTTAACTTCAGAACAATTTTCAGGAAATGAAAAACTCGTGTCTTTTGATGCATGAAGTTTAACCTTCCACAAATTCAACTTACCGTCAGACTCGACCGCTTCAGCATCTTTGCTTTCACTCGTTGTCCTTGATGCTGTTAGTGCCTCTTCTAAAAAAAAATGTTTGTTTCAGTATCATGTATATGAAAAAATATCAATTCTACAAAATTGTGTCGTGCATATTTTATGCGAGAGAAAAACTAGGTTCTGTGCACTTCTGCTCGAGACCACAAATTGTTGCCATTCTAATTCAGAGAGCATCACCCACCTAACATCATAATTGCTTCATGGTTTTATATTTTGAGAGCGCTGCTGGCTGCAATGGTCCCGGATTGCATTAAGAATACACAGCCTTTTCAGACAAGTGTGTTCTTCGGTTTCCTTCCTATATTTTTCCTGTGACATTTGTACACTGTTTTCAAAAAGACATGTTATTTTGTTCCTTATATGTTTAATTTTTTTAAAAGTTAACTCCAAAATAATTTTTACGAAACGAAAAATGCATTTATTTTGATGGATGAAGTTTAACATTTAAGGAGTTCAACTTACCAGGAGTCTCGGCTGTTTCAGCATCTTCACTTTCATTCGTGCTCGACGCTGTTGGCACGTCTTCTGCAAAGAGACTTGTTTTAGTATTATGCATATGAAGAATAATGATCCTACAAAAATCTTTAGCTCGCATTTCATCCGATAGAAAAGTTAGGCGTTCTTCACTTTCTCTTGCCGAGACAAAAGAAAGCTGTCATCCTAATTCGCAGAGCATGACTTACATAACATGGTGATTGCTTCAGAATTTTGTATTTGTGGAGTCCTGTACGTTATAGTAATCTGAGGTTGTTTTAAGAATACATGCACAATTGTTGATAACCCCTCTACATGTATACTCAAAAATGTGACATTTATTGTCTGAAGGAGAATATTATTCCAGGATGTGGATGTCGGCGTGGTGAGAGTGATTTTGGTATATGGCTATTTGATTTGCTTACACCTACAACCACATTCACATGCAAGAGATGCAGGTTGTGTTTGAAATTGGCAAGCTCAAGCTTGAATTGGATTTGGCCATTAATTCCGGCATGTATGATAATTCCGTACACTCACAGTTTCTGTTATGAAATAGAGATTTGTAGTTACGCATGTACAGGTTATACGGAAAATAGTTAATATTTCCTAGCAGAACATAGGTATCTTATTTTATATCTCTGCTTTTATATATTCACGGAATATTGACAAAATGCATGCTATTTAGGTCGTCATATGGGTACCTCTATTTTAATTTAGCTTCAAAACAATTTGTGAAAAGTAAGAGGGGCATTTATTTTCACAGATGAAGCTTAACATTTGACGACTTGCACTTACCAGCAGCCTCAATTGTTTCAGCATCTTCAACTTCGTTCGTTGTGTTCGGTTCTGTTGGTGCTTCTTCTACAAAGATATTTGTTTTAGTATTATGCACATGAAGAATGATGATTCTACCAAATCTTTCGATTGTGTTTTGTGTCATAGAAAAACTAGATTATGTGCCTTTCTTCTCATTAAGGCAAAAAGAAGTTGCCCTTCTAACCCTTTAAGAATGATTTACATTACATCGTGGCGGCTTCAGGGTTTTATATTTTGGCAGACCCTACTAGTCCCAGTGGTCTCGGATTCAACTACCCGTAATTGTTGTTATCTCAACAAAAGTTCACTATTCCGTTATCCTTCGATATTTCTGCTCTTATATCTTGCCGTGATATCAGGAAAAACATGCCATACAGGTCGTCATATTTATAACTTCTTTTATTATTAAGTTTTAAAACAATCTTTAGAAAATAAAAAGGCACTTATTTTGATCTATGAAATTGAACATTGGAAGATCCGAACTTACCAACAGCCTCGGCCGTTTCAATATCTTCACTTTCACTCGTTATTGCTGGTGCTTCTCCTACAAAGATATTTGTTTTACTATTATGGTTATGAAGATCGATAATTCAAAAAAAATCTATTGCTCATGTTTGGTGCGATGCAGAAGTTAGATTCTGTGCATTTCTTCATACCATGAACACTAACAATACAATTAGCCATTATATGTCGAGGAGTATTACTTAGTAAGCATCATGATCGTATCACCGCTCTGTGTTTTAGTAGCTCTGCTGGCCGTAGGTATCCGGGAGCCTATTAAGTATCAATTCTGCACCACAAACACTGTAGTCTTCTATTGTCATTCAGTATCTCTGATGTGACATTGTAACAGCGCACCAAAAGAAAACATGCGATTCAGTTTGTCATACGTTAGTAATGCAGTTTAAAGTTTGACTTGAAAATATTTGTTAGCAAGCGGAGACGGTATTTATTCTGATGGATGCAATATAACGTTTCACAATCTGAACTTACCAACATCCTCGACCGTTTCAAGATTTTCAATTTCACCAGTTTTGCTTGATGCTATTGTTTCTTTTTCTAAAAAAATATTTATTTTGGTAATATGCATATAACGAACCATTATTCTATAAAAACCTTCTCGTTCATGTGTGGTGCATAAAAAAAGTAGGCTCTGTGCAATTCTTCTTATGGTGACATATAATAATATAGCTTGCTATTCTGATGCGAGGAGTATTACTTTGTTAAGGTCCTCATCGCCTCAGAATTTTATATTTCGGGAGTTCTGCAGGTTGCAATAGTCTCGAATTCTATTAAATATAATTCCTGTTTTATAAAAAATGCAATCTTTGATCACCATTCTAAGCCTCTGCTGTAACTTTTTCTCATAATATTAAAATAAAACGTACTGTCCAGTTCATCCAGCCTATATATAATTTATTGTAAGATATAATCTCAAAATTGGGAGGAGGGGGAGGGAATTGGCGCAATGACAACTTGTTCGTTTCTGGAGAATTGGCATCATGTTCGAGCCTCCCCCCTCCCCCCACCTCAGCACTATGTTTGCATAACTCTGTTCTGTTCTTCACGTCTCAAGCTACTCGTTCGACGATGGTTTATGCATTCTGCTTGTATATCAAAGTGGTTTGACTCGGTAAACCATCACTCATGACTCATGCTAGCTTTGCTCATAGTGTTATATGCCTTATGTCTGTGCTTTGTTTTAATTGCTTTTCATTCTTCATAAGTCACTTGTAATCAGCACTATATCGCTTTAGGTCCTACCATGGGTAGATGGTTAAATAAATCGCAAAGAAACAGATATAACCTCAAAATAAATCTGAGATAATGAAACGAGATTTTTTGTGGTGAATGAAGTTTAAAATTGGACAATCTGAACTTACCAACAGCCTCGGCCGATCCAGCATCTTCACTTTCACCAGTTTTGCTTGATGCTATTGTTTCTTTTTCTAAAAAAATATTTGCCTTAGTATTATACATATGAAGAATGATAATTCTACAAAAACCTATCGTTTATACTTGGTGCAATGCAAAAAATAGATCCTATTCGTTTTTTCTTATCGTGACTCATAATGATACGATTTGCCATTCTGATTCTGAGAGCTGGACTTACTCAATATCATAAAAGTATTATAGTTTTACATTTTGGGAGTGCTGCTGTCCGTAAGGGTATCGGGTTGGTTTAAGTATAAATCCTATTTCTGAAGAGGTGTATTGTTTGATTTCCATACTAAATCTATGCTGTGACTTTTTGAGATTATAGCAAAAGAACTTATGCTATTCAGTTCGTCGTGCATGAGTAGTGTAGCGTAAAATTTACCTAATTTGGACAATATAACGACGAGGAATGAGCGAATACGATGGCGTAAAGGAAAATAAATCCCTAAGGAACGATCGTATGCGTGCGGTTAATTAACTTTTTTGTATGCGGGTGAATCCGCCTGGTTTCAACCACTTTGTGGAAAATTTTTTTTTTTACGATTTTGATATTCTAGTTAGGCGGGGCATAGTCGAAAACGGTCTGAGGTAGCAATTAAAATTTTTTTGAACACATAAAGTATGGGGATCCACATTATTTTTTAGGAACCCTTCACACATGTATGTATCTACGAAGTAATTTTCCTGATCCTACTTTCTATAG